TGTCTTCAAGCTCAGTCTGTGAGAATATTTTTAGTCTGAAACTTGATCTAAAGTACTGATCACATTAAGAGTTCCTTCCACATTGAGAAGACTTATTCAAGTAAGTGAGTTAGGTTTTACACCACTTTTACAACATTGCAGCTACAGACTTGTGCAAAAAGTATTCAGACACTTGATGTAATTTCCATAGACTTTCACGAGAATAACACGAGTTATTACTGTAAATGCGATCATGTGGTCAGGCTTGGTTGACAGATGTTTTTGTATCCCTATAGTGTAGAGCAATGCTGATAATGTCGACCACTACGTTGTCTGGTCCATACTCGATTATTTATAGACGGCCGCCATATAGTAGGAATATTGTATAACATATCAGTTATTGATACAATCGCAGGCTTGTGCTGTGTTTTCCTTGGAAATCCATCAAGTCTAGACACAATTATCTACACACAGCCGTTATACAGTTGGAATATTGCTGAGTGCTGCATTAAATAACAAACAAACAATATTACTGTGTAGCATGAATTGGGTGTCACAATTATCTGAACAGAGCTGCAGTTGAATTTTTTTAAAGCAATGTCATGATGGTGGGTTCGAATCCAAGATTTGCCATGATTATTGTGCTTGGTTTGTCTGCACCGTACCCATTCTCTTGAGTTTAACTGAAGAACAAAACGGTCGTGCTATGGGCTCAGACAAAATATGGTCAATTTATTTTTATGTCTTCAATCTCAGTCTGTGAGAATATTTTTAGTCTGAAACTAAAGTACTGATCACATAACAAGTTCCTTCCACCTTTAGAAGACTTTTTCAAGTAAGTGAGTTAGGTTGTACACCGCTTTTAGCAACTTTGCAGCTATATCATGATGGGGACACCAGATATCACTGCAGTGTTCAACATGGGCAAAGTGGGGGTGTCATGAAACAACTTTTACCTGTATAATGGCAGTGTATTGAATCCGACATATCGCGTCACGATACATTGATTGTAAATAAGGTTATTATTTTATTATGTCTGGAGGTAAAAATAAACCATGAAGATCTGCAAGTACTCAACTTAATGATAATAAGATCTCGGCCAATCTGATAAATATTGTATTTTGAATTTTCTACCTTCACATTGTCCAATTTAACCATGGTAATGTCAATACATGTATATGTTCCTGTGACAATGAATTATATTTTACGGATTGAATATAGCACTGTGAAAATATTGTGTGTTCTTTAACTTCACTTGAATGGAACATTGAAAGTTAGAGTTCTAGAACATTGATCATGTTGATGATATTGCTACCTTATAACTGCTTTGCAAACACCCATTTGAATTTGTTCAAAGTGTTTGGAATGCCTTGGGAGTCTTGCTCCAGTATGGGTGTACAATCCCTTTCAGTAAGCATTTGGTAAGTGGTCAAATGTAACAAATGTTATATTTAGGATAACACTTTCTCAGTGAAGTAGAAATTCTCAGACTCAGAGTTAGTGGTGGTCCGACTAATTGAAATAATCAAAGATTGGTGGCAGTGACTAAACAATCAAGCAATAGAACATGTTTTCTCATGATCGAACACAAACAATATTTAGAACACTTGTTTGCATCAACAATATTTTTCACAAGGTTAGTTTTTTGTGTGTCATTACATTTACATTTCATAAGCACTATAAGCTCGTTCCAAATCACGAGGAGAGCGGAAGGTCGCGGGTTCGATCCCCGGCCGCGTCATACCAAAAGACGTTAAAATATGGTACTTGTTGGTCCCTGCCTGGCGCTCGGCATTAATGGGTACAACAAGGACTGGTCGGCTCGGAGTCAGTATAATGTGTCTGAGTGGGGTATTCATGCTTCACTGCGGCATGGTATCTCAGTGGGCTAGCACTATAAAACCAGCTTAAGTCTGGGCTAGTACAAGCAGCCGCAATTACACATACACACGCATGCACGTCGTCATATGAGCGAAATATTCTCAAGCACGACGTTAAACCCAATTTCACCTCACCTCACCAAATCATGATTGAATTCCATGACATGCATAAGTTCGCTGGACTGCCCTATGAATGCACAATTCCTTTTAGAAAGTAGTCAAATGTAACAAGATTGGGATCATACTCTCAAATGGAATTATCTAGGTCCCCTAACCTGGACCCTTTAAACATGGGTTAGGCAAGGATCCCATAATAAAGAGTCAAAGTATCGAATTCCAGTGAAACATTGTCATGATTGTTTTATCTTTTGACAGAATATTATTATGACAAGTTTTGAAGGGAATCTTTCAAATATTCTGAAAAAGACATGTCAGAATTTGAACCAGCAATCTACCCTGTTTACACATAGGAAGTAGTGGTGTTTCTTATTACATGCATCAGCATGACAAGACATATTGTCTATTCCACCTACCGTAGCATGTCCACCCCCGCACAACTATAAATGTCGACTTGTACACATAAGAATATGAAAGGTGATGGGTCTTAAAATAACACAGCGGACATTGTTATGTACACAGTAGTCATTGCCTTGTTCTGTATTGACATTTACTAGACTATTCCCGGATTTGAGTTATTTTGCAATTCATTGTTTGCAGACAAATGGTCTGAAAGTACCTTGACTTTTTTCCAAGGCTGGATACAGCAATTGGCTGATAAGAGATTGTGGGGTAATTTCCCTGAGAGCAAATAAATGTTGAAAGCACTTCTCGTGTGCTGAACACTCTGTAGTTTTATTTCACTCTACATTATTTGAATGTTTAGTTTGGTCTGTATGGGTGGAAGTGAATGTCATTATGACTTGTGTTAAAACATGCATGTCATTATGACTTAGCATTATGGGGAAGGTAACTACTCCTGAGGTGTTTGTTTTGCTAGTTTGTTGTTTAATGCTCACTCAGCAATATTTCAGCTGTATGACGTCGGTCTGTAAATAATCCAGTCTGGATCAGACAATTCAGTGATCTACATCATGAGCATCACTCTACGCAACTGGGATATGATGACATGTGTCAACCAAGTCAGCGAGCCTGACCACCAGATCTCGTTATTCGTCTCTTATGACAAGCTTGGGTTGCTGAAGACCAATTCTAATCCATATCTTACCTGGCCTCTGTGGTGTAGTGGAAAGAGCCTGAACTGAGATCAGTGGTTTGATCTCTGGATGCATCATGCAAAAGGATGTTATCCTTACTCTTTTGGGGGTGGTGGTAGGGTAGCCTAGTGGTTAAAGCGTTTGCTCAGCACATTGAAGACATGGGTTTGATTCCCCACATGGGTACAATGTGTGAAGCCCATTTATGGTGTCCCTCATCATGATATTGCTGGAATAATTCAAAAAGTGGTGATAAACTCGCTCACTATTTTTGAATTTCTATTATAATTTTAGCTTTTGAGTCTCTTTTATTTTATTTGTCTTCTTTGTCAGAATTTTTGTTTTTGTCTGTAGTTTTTAACTGGTGACTTGAGCCGAATGTAAAACACAGAAACCACCACACTCAAGTGTTTATTGTAGTGAAAAGGACAGCATGTACTCATGAGTACCAAAATGGAGACTTTATTGCAGCCATGAAGAGCTCTAATTTAATCATGTCAATTAACGCCGGCCTTGTCTGACGGTTTGATCAATACCTTGATGTCGCTACCACCATGATATGATTACAAATGAAGCAATTTCGGTTACTTGGGTATTGACACACACTGTGTCCATCATTTCTGCAACAGCCTGTTAACTCGGCAGACATTGATTTTGGAATTGTTTTACTATTTCCAACCTTGTTTTTGAAATCATCATTTACATGCTTCTAATTGAAATATGACAACGCGAAAGAGCTTCACTTTTAATGAAAGACATAGCCAACAGTTTCATTAGTCTGAGACCAATAAAAAGACTATCTGAAGGAACTGTTTCTTTCTCTATCCTAAAATCTATATTTATTTCACAAGATTTGCTGGTCATATCCAACATGGATGTGCTGGATATAAATAATAGTGTCCACTATATACTGATGATCTTTACTGGTTCTGGGTTTTTAGTGGATCTCCTAAATTGTGGTTCTTATGATGTGTTAAATTCCTTGAAGAATGTTTAATTCTTAAAATTATGTCAACTTTCAACAATTAATGTGTGACTCATCGGCCACATAAGGGAATCATATAAAATTACATATTTTCATAAATGTATGAGTAGTCTTCTTAAAACATAACAATGAAATGTTTGTAATACATATATCTGTAACAGTTAAAGGCTACTTTGATAAAAGAACAGATTTTTGGCTCAACCGAGTTTCTAGTTCAAGTAGCATCTGTTTTCTGTCTGTCCTCATCTGTGACCTATATATACACTCATCTGATTGTCTGCTGGGGGCGGTGTGGTAGCCTAGTGGTTAAAGCATCCACTTGTCACGCCAAAGACCTGGGTTCAATTCCCCACATGGGTACAATGTGTGAAGCCCATTTCTGATGTGGTATTGCTGGAATATTGCTGAAAGCGGGGTAAATCTAAACTCACTCACTCATTGTCTGGTAAGATGAGCTTATTATTTCAATTCAGTGAATCTTCAAAACAATGGTAAATTCAAATCATCAAAGACAGTGTATCATGAATGTATCAAAATGCTTGACATTGATGCCACCTTTAAAAGAGTCAGAAGTTCTGCTTGACCTACAGGTACATGTTTAACATCACACAAAGGACTTTCAATATGTGCTCACCAAAGACTCGCATAATACAATTTTTACTCCAAGTGTGTATCATTTATTGCTTATTGATCTCTGTGTTTGTAAAATGATGTTATACAACATTTGGGAAACCATGAGGAAATGGCAAAATACCCAGTAATCATTGATGTGATATCATTTCAACAAACAATGGACCTACAGTGTTTCAGTAATGTTGAATATTTGTGTTTCAGTTATCACTTTAATTACGTATGAATATTTCTGTTACAGTCATGGTAATGTTTGTGTTTCAGTAACAGTAATTATTCATGTCTCAATGATGTTGAATATGTTTGTTTCAGAGGAGACATTGCCCTGATTGGGTTGGCTGTGATGGGCCAGAATCTCATCCTGAACATGAATGACCATGGATTTACAGTAAGTATGCCTGTGTGTACAACACTGCAAGGATGCCAGAGGAGATAAGACCCAAGTGCCACCTGCTTGTCTTTCCTTACAGTTTTGAGGCAGGCAGTGTAGATGACACTGTCTAATGGTTGTATCCAAGTAGTGATTTTCTGGTAGTGCAGGCTGATTGAGGCAGTGTAGACCATGCTTCAGTAACCCATGCTTGTCTTAAGAGGCGACTAACAGGATCAGATGGTCTGGATCGCTGACTTGGTTGACACATGTCATCATATCCCAATTGTGTAGATTGATGCTCATGATGTTGATCACAGGATTGTCTGGTCCAGACTTGATTATTTACAGACTGCCACTATATATAGGTAGCTGGAATATTGCTGAGTGTAGTGTTAAACAACCAAACCAAATCTTCCCATGGTGTCTAATTCTTGTCTTGCTATATGGGTTATAAAGGCAGGGGACCTTCAGTCCTTTGTTTGAAGGTAGGGGTTCTTGGTCAGTGTTGACTATTGTCTGGATGTCTGTTTCTCAACAGCATTATTTCCCCTTATCTGACCATGGGGATTCTGCCCTTTTGGCAAGTGCAAAATCCCAAAGGGGTTCTTGAAGGCCCCAGTGTAATCTTGATTTATTTCCTCCGCCCTTCTGAAAATCTGAAGCAACTCTTGATTTTCCTCCGGCTCTGACTCTTCTATCGCACTTGGGCTCCTTGTTAATTTAAATAGAGATCTTATTTTTCTGTCCAAATTACATATTTTCAGAGCCAAGTTGCCTTTGGTGCCACAACTCCTTTTGCAAAGCTGCATCCCATGGGCATGCAGGGGTGGAAATAACTTTAAAATTGCTAGTGTACAGTGTGATATACAAATTTGCTTGCCCTACAGAAAAAAACCCTGACACGGGCACCGGGCAATGGGTTATTTCCACCCCTGGGCATGCCAAATAATTGTGATAATTTATTAAACTTTTCATACAAAATAATTGGAAATGATTGAATTTGACTTTTATAGCTATGTATTCACAATGTCCCTAATGTTCACCATGCGCCATGTCCCCAAGGTTCACCATGTCCCTAATGTTCACCATGTCCCTAATGTACACCATTAATGTCACCATGTACCTAATGTTCACCATGTCAATGTTCACCATTAATGTTCACCATGTCCCTAAGGTTCACCATGTCCCTAATGTTCACCATGTCCCTAGTGTACACCATTAATGTCACCATGTACCTAATGTTCACCATGTCCCTAAGCTTCACCATGTCCCTAAGCTTCACCATGTCCCTAAGCTTCACCATGTACCTAAGCTTCACCATGTACCTAAGGTTCACATTACAAGTATGGTCAATATGAAATACAGGGAACATGAAATGTTTTCACAGTACTCGTCAACATTTGAGTGGATTGAAAATTGCGAATGCTGCTATTCTTGCACTGGTTAGTGATCTACAGGCAGCAAGGGGGAAGTAAATTGACAGTGTGGACAAGGTTGTTGTGATAATGTATCAGGCTATATCTACATGTCCACACAATAAGTGAAGGAGGTACATCCGTGTCAAATTTCACTTCCTGGTTCACTTTAAATTCATCACCATGGCAACTTTTTCAACAGCAACACAAAATCTTTATTACATTCCGCTTATCTTTTTTCCAAAACATTGTTGTGCCATGAAGATCCGGGTTAGAATTCGTCTGCTTGTCATAAGATGTGACTAATATGATCGGGTGGTGAGGCTCATTGACTTGGTTGACACATGGCATTATGTCCCAAATGTGTAGATCAATGCTCATCCATGATGATCACTGGATTATCTGATCCGGACCTGATTGTTTACAGACCATGACCACATATCGAATATTGCTGATTGCAGAGAGTAATACAACAAGCAAAACAAACAAACTTTAATAGTTAGGATAGTTAGTTGGCTTAAGTCATGTGTAAACAGAGAGCAGTCACTCCTAGATTCCAGATCAAACATTCACGATTTCAAAGGCAAATTTAAGTCAATTCTGCATCCCATTTTACAAAACTCTTAAAAACCTTCTTCAGTTAAAAAACTTGAAAACCCCCAAATTTCTTCAAAAGATCGATGTGAACATAATTGCAGTCTTAGATATTCAAATAATATTATTGTAGGGTGCTTAAGAAAACGGTTCTAGTTCTGGTTCAGGTTCTGGTTCAAGGTTCTGGATTCTGGATTCAGGTTCTGGTTCAGGTTCTGGTTCAGGTTCTGGTTCTGGTTCTGGTTCCCTGTATCTGGTTCTGGTTCTGGTTCTGGTTCAGGTTCTGAGTTCTGGTTCTGGTTCCTGTATCTGGTTCAAAGTTCGTTCTGTATCTGGTTCAAGTTCAGGTTCTTGGTTCAGGTTCAGGTTCTGGTTCAGGTTCTGGTTCAGGTTCTGGTTCTGGTTCAGGTTCAGGTTCTGGTTCTGGTTCAGGTTCTGGTTCTGGTTCAGGTTCTGGTTCCTGTATCTGGTTCAAGTTCAGGTTCTGGTTCAGGTTCAGGTTCAGGTTCTGGTTCAGGTTCTGGTTCTGGTTCCTGGTTCTGGTTCTGGTTCAGGTTCTGGTTCTGGTTCTGGTTCTGGTTCTGGTTCCTGTATCTGGTTCAGGTTCAGGTTCTGGTTCAGGTTCTGGTTCTGGTTCAGGTTCTGGTTCTGGTTCAGGTTCTGGTTCTGGTTCTGGTTCTGGGTTCAGGTTCAGGTTCTGGTTCTGGTTCCTGTATCTGGTTCAAGTTCAGGTTCAGGTTCTGGTTCTGGTTCTGGTTCTGGTTCTGGTTCTGGTTCTGGTTCAGGTTCAGGTTCTGGTTCTGGTTCTGGTTCTGGTTCTGGTTCAGGTTCAGGTTCAGGTTCTGGTCAGTTCTGGTTCAAGTTCAGGTTCAGGTTCTGGTTCTGGTTCAGGTTCAGGTTCTGGTTCAGGTTCAGGTTCAGGTTCCCTGTATCTGGTTCAGAGTTCAGGTTCTGGTTCAGGTTCAGGTTCAGGTTCTGGTTCAGGTTCAGGTTCTGGTTCTGGTTCTGGTTCAGGTTCAGGTTCAGGTTCTGGTTCAGGTTCAGGTTCTGGTTCAGGTTCAGGTTCTGGTTCAGGTTCAGGTTCTGGTTCTGGTTCCTGTATCTGGTGCTGGTTCCTGTATCTGGTGCTGGATCCTGTATCTGGTTCTGGTTCCTGTATCTGGTTCTGGTTCAAGTTCCTGGTTCTGGTTCAAGTTCCTGGTTCTGGTTCCTGTATCTGGTTCTGGTTCCTGTATCTGGTTCAGGTTCTGGCTCAAGTTCCTGGTTCTGGTTCCTGTATCTGGTTCAAGTTCCTGTATCTGGTTCAGGTTCTGGTTCAAGTTCCTGGTTCTGGTTCCTGTATCTGGTTCAAGTTCCTGTATCTGGTTCAGGTTCTGGTTCAAGTTCCTGGTTCTGGTTCCTGTATCTGGTTCTGGTTCCTGTATCTGGTTCTTGTTCCTGTATCTGGTTCAGGTTCTGGTTCAAGTTCCTGGTTCTGGTTCAAGTTCCTGGTTCTGGTTCCTGTATCTGGTTCTGGTTCCTGTATCTGGTTCAGGTTCTGGTTCAAGTTCCTGGTTCTGGTTCCTGTATCTGGTTCAAAGTTCCTGTATCTGGTTCAGGTTCTGGTTCAAGTTCCTGGTTCTGGTTCCTGTATCTGGTTCAAGTTCCTGTATCTGGTTCAGGTTCTGGTTCAAGTTCCTGGTTCTGGTTCCTGTATCTGGTTCAGGTTCTGGTTCAAGGTTCCTGGTTCTGGTTCCTGTATCTGGTTCTGGTTCCTGTATCTGGTTCAGGTTCTGGTTCAAGTTCCTGGTTCTGGTTCCTGTATCTGGTTCTGGTTCCTGTATCTGGTTCAGGTTCTGGTTCAAGTTCCTGGTTCTGGTTCAAGTTCCTGGTTCTGGTTCCTGTATCTGGTTCAGGTTCTGGTTCTGATCTCCCATCACACGGGCTCCTTTTTCTTCAAATGGGATTATAATTTCTAAGTTAATTATAATTTGTATGTATAGATTGTAAGCATTATTCCAATAGGAGCTTAGTATCCCATGAATGTATGACATTCAAATTCTGGTCATGTATGCTAATAGTACTGCTGTCGGTCAGCATGTTACAGGGTCACTACAGACTGTAGTTGGATGTCCAGAGGTGTATGTCATTCAGAATAGGTTTGAACATGTTGAAGTTTTGGATGTCATTTATTGTCAAAACAAGTTAATGTTCATGCTGGGTTGCCATGAACTAAGTGCACATTGGTGGGAATTTGGTCATTTTAACACATGAATTTGTGTTTTGGAAATGAAGGTTTTTATGATGGATACAGGGTGGTGGGGTAGCCTTGTGGTTAAGGCGTTGGCTCGTCATGCCAAAGACCCGGGTTCGATTCCCCACCTCGGCACAATGTTCATTCAGATGAAAGATTTAGGGGTTACTGCGCCACATGGGTACAATGTGTGAAGACCATTTCTGTGATGTTGCTGGAATATTGCTAAAAGCGGCTTAACAGACACACAATTAAAATATAATTATAAAGTTTGTGTGGTCAGGATATATTAAAAACATCTTGTACAGTACTATGTTAAGTCAAGTTCGAAGATGAAATTTATTAAACAGTTCATACAAAATAATAGGAAATGATTGAATTTGACTTTTATAGCTATGTATTCTCTATGTCCCTAATGTTCACCATGCCCCATGTCCCTAAGGTTCACCATGTCCCTAATGTACACCATGTCCCTAATGTACACCATTAATGTTCACCATGCCCCTAATGTTCACTATGTCCCTAAGGTTCACTACCATGTCCCTAAGGTTCACCATGCCCCTAATGTTCACCATGCCCCATGTCCCTAATGTTCACCATGTCCCTAATGTACACCATTAATGTTCACTAATGTCCCTAAGGTTCACCATGTCCCTAAGGTTCACCATGTCCCTAAGGTTCACTAATGTTCACCATGTCCCTAAGGTTCACCATGTCCCTAATGTACTCCATGTCCCTTATGTTCACACCATGTCCCTAATGTTCTGCCCCATGTCCCTAAGGTTCACCATGTCCCTAATGTACACCATGTCCCTAATGTTCACCATGCCCCATGTCCCTAAGGTTCACCATGTCCCTAATGTACACTATGTCCCTAATGTACACCATTAATGTTCACCATGCCCCTAACCATGTAATGTTCACCATGTCCCTTGGGTTCACTCCATGTCCCTTGGAGTTCACCATGTCCTAATGTACACCATTAATGTTCACCATGTCCCTAATGTTCACCATGTCCCCATGTTCACTACATGTCCCTAAGGTTCACCATGTCCCTAATGTACACCATTAATGTTCACCATGTACCCAATGTTCACCATGTGTCTCTTCACCATGTCCCTAATGTTCACCATGTCCCTAAGGTTCACCATGTCCCTAATGTTCACCATGTCCCTAATGTTCACCATTAATGTCACCATGTCCCTAATGTTCACCATGTCCCTAAGCTACACCATTAATGCTTCACCATGTCCCTAATGTTCACCATGTCCCTAAGGTTCACCATGTCCCTAAGGTTCACATTACAAATATGGTCAATATGAAATACAGGGAACACGAAATGTTTTCACAGTACTCGTCAACATTTGAGTGGATTGAAAATTGCGAATGCTGCTATTCTTGCACTGGTTAGTGATCTACAGGCAGCAAGGGGGAAGTAAATTGACAGTGTGGACAAGGTTGTTGTGATAATGTATCAGGCTATATCTACATGTCCACACAATAAGTGAAGGAGGTACATCCTTGTCAAATTTCACTTCCTGGTTCACTTTAAATTCATCACCATGGCAACTTTTTCAACAGCAACACAAAATCTTTATTACATTCCACTTATCTTTTTTCCAAAACATTGTTGTGCCATGAAGATCCGGGTTAGAATTCGTCTGCTTGTCATAAGATGTGACTAACATGATCGGGTGGTGAGGCTCGCTGACTTGGTTGACATGGCATTATGTCCCAAATGTGTAGATCAATGCTCATGATGATGATCACTGGATTATCTGATCCAGACCTGATTGTTTACAGACCATGACCACATATCCGGAATATTGCTGATTGCAGGAGTAATACAACAAGCAAACAAACAAACTTTAATAGTTAGGATAGTTAGTTGGCTTAAGTCATGTGTAAACAGAGAGCAGTCACTCCTAGATTCCGCATCAAACATTTACGATTTCAAAGGCAAATTTAAGTAAATTCTGCATCCCATTTTACAAAACTCTTAAAAAACCTTCTTCAGTTAAAAACTTGAAAAAACCCCAAATTTCTTCAAAAAGATCGATGTGAACATAATTGCAGTCTTAGATATTCAAATAATATTATTGTAGGGTGCTTAAGAAAAGATTACTTTATGAATAAATCATCTTTATTTGTGATTATTTTAAAAATATCCTTATAACAAATGTCTCAGTTCATTTTTGTATAACCAATCATATGTTTGAAATTTACCCCTACTTTTCGGTTGATAGTCAATCTTAATTCAACCTTCAAAATAAGTAAATTCTGCATCAGAACATGGCAAGTTCTGCAGGTATTCGGCATGGAAATGCGTTTTCCGCGCACCAGACATTTTTCTGCATCAAAAGGTAATTTCCTTGATTTTTTCTGCAACCGTGAAATCCAGGAGGGACTAAGAGAGCATTCAACCATATTCAGTTCAGGTTTGGTGTCATGGTTATTGTAGTGTGAAGTTTCAGGCTTAAAATGGCCTTGAATTTTAGGTCATTTGGAAAATGGCATGTATCCAGACCAGGCAGTATATAGTAGCCAACACTCTCATGAATTTAACTTGACAGTACTCTGGCCACAGGTCATCGTCATGATAAATTAACTGTTAATAGTGTTATTATGTTCAAAACATGTCAAAGTGAGGAAGACAGCTTGCTGGCATTTCATATTTACGAGATGCATGTTTGAGAACTAGCCTTGAAACTGTGATGCGATCCCTCTTCAAATGAAGTGTGCCAAGTGTAATATTGTAGTGACTGTGTCGATGTGCTGAGGTGGCAGTATTACATCCTGTATTGTGTTGTAGGTGGCAGCCTTCAACATGTTTAATGGGACTGTGCCCAGAGTGGAACTACAGAGATGCCAACCACTCGAGTGGAGGAGTTATTCCGATTTATAAAATACAAAATCTACTGTCCGTTTTGTCTATTAAAAAACTCAGATTTTTTAGAAAGTACAAATATAATAATAAATGTTTGAAAGAATTTTAGTAAATAGCCATTTAAATATGTTCATTTGAGTTAAGTATCATCTGGTTAAATATGGCCAGAAATTGCATATTTCCAGGCTAAATCTAAAGATTTTCATAAGGGAGGCCCTCCAGATCCCCACCGTCAAAAGGGACCCGAGCCCCCCAACTCGCACCTTGCGGGAATTGCTTCTAACAAGGCATGACTCCGCTTTCATTCGATTCAGGGTTGGCATCTCTGGTTAAACTAGTGGAATATTGTAGTGGCCATATTGATGTCACATTGTGTTCAGGTGGTAGCCATCCGATTTACTGCACCATTGAGAATGTGCATCACAAACAAACCTCAATCTTGGGACAGCAATATCAGCAACATATCAGCCATTCCCACTGATTATGATCAAGTTTGCGAAAAATTCTGAATTGAAAACCATTAAGAGTTGCAGTGGCTTTGGTTGCTAGCTATGCCAGTTACCTGCTGACCCTAACTCTATGTCAACATTTAAATGGTTGGTGAAATGTTCAAGAAAACAAGTGGCAGGTTCTGTAAATCTTGAAATTAATGTTTCCAAGTTAATGTAACTGATGGCCCCAAGCCAAATGCGACTTTCCTCCAACCACAGAGTAATTGTGTGTAGATATAAAATAGCCTCTAATATATTTAAGCCTTACATTAACCCATTTTACATTAGTCATATCAGACAGTGAATAGCAGTGACTATAAAAGTACTTCTGGAGGGAACTGTTAAATCCGTCATAAAACAACATTACATTGATTGGAATGTGGAAAAGGTGTAAACCAAATTGAACATGTTGAAGGCAGACAACAAGACAAAGGCTGTAGAAAAGAGAATAAGTATGATACAGTCTATCCATGCACACTGGGTCATGTCAGCCTTTGATGCAGTCACCGAGAACAAGGAAACTGTATTCGCATGCTTGAGTGCTCAGTGACGCTTAGTTCGACACTAGTGAGCAGGGCTCTTGACCACAACAATGACACCTCACTGGATGTCCATTATGCAATTTCTAGTGTTTGAATGAGAAATTGCTACAGGTCCATACTTGTTAAAACCGCTCCTCAATAAACGGTGATGTGGATAAGAGTTTTCATACTTCACTTGGTATTATCACTATCCAAAATATTATGTCATTTTTTAAACGTATTTGCAAAGTTTGTTTAATGCGAGGAAAGACCATTCCAATTGTTTGCATATAATTTCAAACTGAATTACTCACGGAGTGAGTGAGCTTAGTTTTACGCCGCAGCCAGCTATATTCCAGCTATATGGCCGTGGTCTGTAAATAATCGAGTTTGGACCAGACAATCCAGTGATCAACAGCATGAGCATCGATCAGCGCAATTGGGAACCGATTACATGTGTCAACCAAGTCGGCAACCATGACCACCCGATCTCGTTAGTGGCCTCTTACGACAAGCATGGGTTACTGAAGGTCAATATCTAACCCAGATCTTCACGAGTGAATTAATTACGATTAAGATTAATTAAGATTTTTTGTCATTTGTGACCACAACTAATTTGGAATGGATTTAGGGGTTAGTGTAAGTTCACTGAAATGCAAGCACTGGTCATATGGAGGATATAAGATGGATTGAGTGTAATTTTGTAATGACTGTGTTGATGGGTTGAAGTGACTGTATTACATCCTGGGGGCAGTGGGGTAGCCTAGTGGTTAAAGCGTTCACTCGTCACGCCGAAGATCCAGGTTCTATTCCCCACATGGGTACAATGTGTGAAGCCCATTTCTGGTGTTCCCCACCGTGATATTGCTGGAATATTGCTAAAAGCGGTGTAAAATCCAACTCGCTCACTTACTCAATATTATATCCTGTATTGTGTTGTAGGTGGTTGCCTTCAACCGGACTGTATCCAAGGTGGAAGATTTCTTGGCAAAGGAGGCCAAGGGCACGAAGGTGATTGGTGCCAAGTCTCTGGAGGACATGGTGAAATTGCTGAAGAAGCCACGACGTGTCATGATGCTGGTCAAGGCTGGACAGGCCGTAAGACGCCTTCATCGATAAACTGGTCAGATTTCAGAATAGCTTTCTACGTTATTTACACATACCTTTTGCAAGCAACTTATTGCACATACCGTATCATGTTTACATCACTTTCTGGTACCAGAGTGGCATTGGGGAAACCTAGTGGTTAAAGTGTCCGCTCGTCAAGCTAATGACCCAGGTTCATTTCCCCACCTGGGTACAATGTGTGAAACCAATTTCTGGTGTCCCCCGCCGTGATATTGCTGGAATATTGCTAAAAGCGGCGTAAAACTAAACTCACTCAGTCAGTCTATGCAATGCAGGTCACTACAGTCTTATACAGCATGGTACACCATCTCATCCTATTTGTTTTATCTAAAGTAAATTTTCTGTAGTCACCTTAATGACCACACACACACTTGATGATTGAGTTAATAATTACTTAGCTACTACAATTTCCTTCTTGCTGTTTTCTATGGAAATCTTTATCATCCAATGTTGGATGTGTTGTTGACAGTATTTACAGATTGGTTTAGAACTTAGCCAGAGGGCAACTCACTGGAGCAGTGTACTTGACATAGCAATTACACTTTGTCAAAGTAGGTGTATTAAAATCAAACTATTGAGATGGTGACTGTATCCCCTGAAAGTTGACCAAGCACGGCGGTTATGTCAGGGTGAAAGAGCGGGCATGTTTAGAGAGTAGCTTACAGATAGGTCACACCTGATTGAAATCTGTGATTGAGGTTGAACATGTTAAAAGTACTTCAGAGCATTAATTGTCCTTGACCAGATAGACATCAGCAGGAGTCATCATCAAAGCCCACCATTATCACTGACATATTACATTTCCATTTCTTATTGAAGCTGTGTGATTTGTTTAGTATAAATGTCATAAATGTCATTTATTGTGTATTGCAAAAATCATGCTGCTTTAACGTTTCCATTACTGGAATGGAGTCTGCTGGAACTAGCCATGCATTTGTTCATGACCTGAGAGATTAATACTTTATTGCAGGCTGACATATCAGTGGTTGCCATCGATAGCACACAGGAGAGTTGTGTTGATAGTCAGATAGACATGGCTACCATAGTTGTTGTATTAATCACTCTGTCCCCTCTCTCCCAAATTCAAGCCTAGCCATGCATTTGTTCATGACCTGATCGATAGAGATTAATACCTTATTAAGGAGCCCACAGGAGCATCATGTGTAGAGTCTGATAGAAATGGTTACCATATTTGTTGTATTAACCACCCCCACCCCCACTCCCCCTTTCCCATATTCAACTTAACAAGCTGAAATCACCTCAACTGAGACCAGTACTTTACATGAAAGTTTGTTGTGTTGATTTTACAGAAAACTGTCTCATAAAAAGGGTATACAATTAGTTTTTCGATTTTCATCAATTTTTTAACTTAGTTTCTTCACCACCACTTGATCTCTGAAGACAATATTCTTGTGTATGGTTTCAAAAAACGTACTCTGTTGTCAAGTTTTTTTTACACCAATGGCCCTTATTACAGTGAATATGGTGAATTAAAACATCCTCATGGGATCAACATGATCATGAGCTCTTCAATTAAAGTACGATCCTTGCATGGTTAGGAGCATGTGTTGAATGTAATTAATTTGAATGTGCACATGAGTAAACCTACATTCATTAAGTACAGGTTGCACACTTACCATGTTATTTCAGGGGGGATTATGGTCACACTTTTTGTTTTGGTTTTTGGTTAAATGTTTCATAAAATAATTGAATGTGTTTTTATTTGACTGTCCACTCAATTTTGTATGGCTTAGAAAAAATATGAATAAATGTTGGCAACTATTTATTTATTAACTAGGTGAATTAATTTTGCCTGTTTAACACCTGTTGAACATATTGTAAGAAGCACATCTCAGCCCTGACGGATACGTTCCTATGTTTATCAATTGATGCCATTAAATAACACTGTATGGCAGATCTTAAAATACACTTACTTAAACTAAACATTAATTCTTAAAACTATCAGGTATATAAAAACAATGTCAGAAAACAATATTGTGCTGGTTCTCCAATAAATATGTCACAATACATTATTAGAACTTGTAACATATTTATCAATTAGAGTTCACACGTGTCACAATCTCATTCAGCTCATAAATTCTTGTACTTCCTGCGACAGATGTAACTGACGATATCTGGATATTGTCTGATGGTTCCATTATCATAATATTGAGTCTTCAGTGTTTTGTCTGCTGTGTTGATGAAAAAGTCAAATTGAACAGATGTATAACGTAGTTAGTTTCAAACAGCAGCATGTGGAAACATTGTGCAAAATAGTTTCAAAATTTTGCTAGCCACTGGCAACCACTAGCTATGCCGAAAGTTACTAGCCCACAAAACAATTTACTAGCCCAAACTTTGAATGTAGAAACTAAGCAAAAGATTACCAAAATAGATGAGAATAAGATATTGTCGGCATGACACAGGTTTCATCATCTTGCAAGATTTTAAAGTAATTTATAACTGTGTGGAAAGGATGTTTTCACCCACCATGAAAGATTCAACATAATGGTACCCCGTATATTGGTACTTCCGGTAGAATTTGGCGGTTGTACTTCTTCTGGTAATAGATTTAGAAATGACATGCTCTAGACAGACATTGCCATACATGCAACATAGTCAGTGTTTTTGTAGCCTGCCATAGTATTTTTAGTCACACAGCGTGTGAGTATGATTAGCCAGGACATGCCCCGTGTTGCCATGCCCCGTGTCAGAGTGTTTGTCACAGGAAGTACTGAAGTCTCGCAAGGTGCCATGACCTACTGGGGGCCCTATTCTGGATGGTCTCAGCTAATGGTGTCATTGTACATGAATCAGTGCTTATGCTATCAACCACTAGTTTGACCCGTTGATTGTCCCAGATATGATCGATGAAGGGCTGCAGTGGTAGAGCTGGAATAAAGCTGCATGCTGCAAAAACAAGCTTAATATGCATGCATCCATTCACTCTCATGTTTGCATTCTAAGTTTAAACTGCAAAAGTTGTATAAGTTCCTAGTAAGTTGTTTGCAAAATTATTCCAAGGATTATCCCACATTATTCTGTGATGTATACTTTGTTATTCCATGAAGGATTCTATGTTTTTCCAAAGCTTTTAACAAATTATTCTAATCTGTATACCATGTTATTCCATTATGCATTTCACATTATTCCAAGGTATATACCATGTTATTCCAAGGTGTATACCATGTTATTCCATGATGCATATCACATTATTCCAATGTATATACCATGTTATTCCAAGGTGTATACTGATAAATATACTATGCTATTCCATGATGCATATCACATTATTCCAATGTATATACCATGTTATTCCAAGGTGTATGCTAATATACTATGCTATTCTATGACGCATACCACATTATTCCAAGGTGTTTACCATGTTATTCAAAGTACAACATGTTACTTATTATCATGTTGATCTAATCTGTTTATAATGTAATTCCATTTTGTGTACAACATTCTTATACCATGTTCTCTGTGTCATCAGGTTCCTCTGCTGGAAAAAGGAGACATAATCATTGATGGCGGCAACTCAGAATACCGAGACTCCAATGTAAGTAAACACTCCCACGTCCTGACATCCTGGTTTAATTAATGGGACCGCCTCCGTGGTGTGGTGGTAAGAGAGAGAGCGGAAGATCACAGGTTTGATCCCCAGCCGTGTCATTCCAAAAGATGTTAAAATGTGGTACTTGTTGGTTCCTGCTTTGCGCTCAGCATTAATGGGTACTGGTCGGCTTGGACTCAGTATGATGTGTCTGAGTGGGGTATTCATGCTTCACTGCAGCATGGTATCTCAGTGAGATAGCACTATAAAACCAGCGTCAGTCTGGGCTAGTACAAGCAGCCGCACATACACATTCACACGCGTGCACGTCGTCATATGAGGGAAATATTCTTAAGTACAACGTTAAACCCCATGCCACCCCACCACCTCACCTAATATTTAACGTCACAATGGCAATATTTCACCATACCGTGACAGCTTTCCCTTGATCTGCAGCAGTTATCAATTTACATTCAAAATAAATGGATTAAAATAAACTCCTGCTTAGTTTTTATCTAATGTGATGACTGTGATGGTAAAAGTGACTTGATAACAGGACTGATGAAAGAAAAGATGTTTTCGATTACAGAATTGTATTGAATGCAATATGTTAATACAGGTTTTTATAAACTTGAAAAAGAGGAATTTTTTAAGTTCTCAAGTTTAATCTGCAGAACAATTTTTTTGTCAATTTGCCTCCAAAGGGCTCTTAGTTTAGAGTTCAAGATAAACATCAGTGTTAATTCTTTCTATGGTTGAAGATTTTCACAGGAGAGACTTGTAATGGTAGCCATGACCTCTTTAATGCTATGTGTTTATAAACATACATGAAAATAATGCTATTTTCTAGTTGTTCAATTTCACATTTTCAGAGGAGAGCCAAATCCCTGGAAGAAAAGGGACTACTTTTTGTTGGTAGTGGTGTAAGTGGTGGTGAAGATGGTGCGCTCTACGGCCCATCCCTCATGCCTGGAGGGTCACCAGCAGCGTGGTATGTGAACTTCTTCTCTCTGCTGTAAATATTACCACACAGCAATTATTTGGAGAATATATCTACATCTGAGGAGCTAGGTTACTTGTAGACTTAGCTGAATAAAATCTGGAACTGAACCTGTCAGCTTTCAAGTATTCTGAAGCCCCTAAAACTTTTCAGTTTGCCAAACTGTTTTTTGAATATTGTAGGTACATCATCTCTGCATTTTATTACCCATAAGTGAACCCATAACTGTTTCAAAATGTGATGGTTTGTTTCAATTGGAGAGAGATTTTCGTATTCATGGAAGAATATTTTGCTATAGAAATTTTGTGATTATTTGCATCCTCATTTAGACCGAAAATAATGGCAATTTCAAAATTCATGGGTAGGATCATCTCGATAATCTCCAGGGTATACGTTCCGATAAATCTCCACTATACCCTGGATGCATCTATGGCTCGGACCCATGATTTTATTACCTCCCTTGGCTGGCTTTTTATCCAATCAGGTGTCTATGCTGGGAAGTTGAACGTACCAATCACAACTCACTTTCGCTTCTTTTATCTAACCGGTTAAACTTGGCAACATAATTGTTGCAGAATTACTCAGAAAGAGGTAGAAGGAGTTCTTGCATATATTTTTAAGGTTTCAGACCTGTTAATTTGTCTGTACGATATCCCCCAAACCTTCGCGGCTGATATCGCAATCTTTGTTGACACTGGCAAGCTCGGTTGTAATGACGGCTTAGCTGATAGTGTACTGTGAGAATGTGGAGCCAGCAAAGGGAGGTAATAAAATTATCAAATCATACATGCATCCAGGGTACTAGTGGAGATTTATCGTAACGTATATCCTAGAGCTTATCGCGGATGGGGTAGGATTACACACCATAGATTATCCGTAGGGTATTGTACCATCATGTGGATTGAAAATAGTGGTTTTAATATTCATTTTAGGACCACTGTTGTTAGATAATTCATAATTTGTCTTTCAATCATTTAGACCAAAAATTGTTCTCTCACACGATGCTCTGACCTGTGTTTGCAGGCCGCACATTAAGGACATCTTCCAGGGCATATCAGCCAAGGTGGGCTCGGAGCCCTGCTGTGACTGGGTAGGTGTAATACGGATGGAGAAAACTGTATTCAGAGACATCATCATCATAATAATAATAGTGCATATTTATAACGCGCACGTATCCACGCTCAGAAGCATGCTCTTGGCGCTACATAAGTACCTTAAAATAAATACATTATATGTACAAAGCAAGAAAACTACAACGAATAGGTGCATAATACAATAAAGGCTATTGAGGATAATATTTAGCAAAGAGGTAGGTTTTGAGATTTGATTTAAAAGAGGCCAGAGATTCAGAGTGTTTGAGGTCAAAGGGGATAGAGTTCCACAAGACAGGGGAAGTGTTGGAGAAAGTTCTGTATCCAAAGGTTTTAAGTTTGTAGTTCGGCACTGTCAGAAGGTTTTGCTGCTGTGAGCGAAGTTCGCGCGATGGACTGTAGGGGTTGATCAGATCTGCAATGTAGGGTGGAGCCTGGCCGTGAAGGGACTTGTATGTGAGGCAGAGTGTATTGAATTGAATCCTGGCTCTCACAGGTAACCAGTGGAGCTGCTTTAGAACTGGGGTAATGTGACTGTGTTTGGAAGTACGGCTGATGAGTCGGGCGGCTGTTTTGTGGACTTTTTGTAGTCTGTCAAGTAGAGTGTCAGGGAGGCCAATATAGAGACTGTTACAATAATCTAGTCTGCTGAGAATTAGAGCACGGACAAGGGAATGAGCAGATTCTGTGGTAATTGGAGGACGTATACTGCCAAACACTCTTAGATGAGAGTAACATACTTTATATTATACCCTTATTTGATTCCCCAAGTTTGGTAGCTGTAAATTAATTGATCATCAATTAGTTATTTTGATATGTACACTTGTAAGAAAGGATTGTTGAGATGCAAGCTTGTTATATTCAGTTATATGATTTCAAGATGCAGGCTTGTCATTTGCACGTGAAAAAGTGATTGTTGAGGTTCAAGTTGTTATTTGCACTGGTGAAAAAAGATTATCAAGATGCAAGTTTGTTGTGTTCAATTATAGGATTGTCAAGATGTGATGTTGAGATGTGAGCTTGTTATTTTCACTTGTAATGTAGGAAATTTCGAGATGCAAACATATTGTTTTCACTTGTAGGAGATGCAGTTAAACAGTTCATAAAAAATTAAATACAATTTGTAAGAGTCTGAAGATTCATTTGATGAAAGTTGTCTAGTTTTGTAGATTGCCAGAAGAACTTAGAATTACAACTTTAGCAGAAATAATATGTCTGTATCTCTTTTTATTCATTGCAGTGTTGGAATTGGGTTTGTTTTAATGTAGTTTAGCTCCAACTCCAAACTGTACCTTGTTTGTTACAGTTTTGATTTGTATCTTCTGAATACGGGCAGTGGGGTAGCATAGTGGTTAAAGCATTCGCTTCGTCACATCAAAGACCCGGGTTCCATTCCATGCAATGTGTCAAGCCCATTTCTGGTTTTGTCATTGCTAGAATATTGCTAAAAGCGGCATAAAACCATACTCACTCACTCTTCTGTGTACAGGTGGGCCCTGATGGAGCAGGCCACTTCGTCAAGATGGTACACAACGGGATCGAGTACGGTGACATGCAGCTCATCTGTGAGGCCTACCACCTCATGAAAACAGGACTCAGTCTGTCACACCAGGAAATGGCAGATGTATGTGTACATTTGATTATCTTCAATTTCAATTTGGGATTTATGAAAGATGCAAATAAATGAAATAGGATCAGCATAATATTAGGGTTGAAACTGTGCTCTTGCCACGGCACGGTATGTATTGTGGTACAAAGCCTTTGGTTTGGTCCGTTTTGGTTCAGTATAAGAAATGATCATAATGCAGAAAATTGACAAGAGTCAAACCTTACATTGTTTAATAACATGGAAAAAAAATAGCCATTATCTTTGTTATTCTGAATGAACAAAACTGTCATGTTATGACTAAACAGAAATGAAGGTACGAAATACGAAAATACGGTTTACCGGACAAAGGCAAAATGCAGCTGTTCTACTAATACTGCGGTATACTGTTTCGCCCCTACATAACTGAAGGAGACACTTCATTGTATTGTTCTTTATGTTTAAAGTTGATGATAGCTCAGGATTCTGATACAGGCTAAATTCATACCTTGTCAAAGACGAGGCTTGTTGACAGGTTTGGTTCAAACTCCTCACTCCTTCCAAATTCAAATGGTGGCCTAGAAATTACCGAGACAATCTTGTGACTTATAAAGTAAAATTATAAACTTGACACTTGTTAATTTGAATCTTACAATGGAAGTAGTGTGTGCATTTTAATGAAAATAAATGTGTATCATACTGCTATCATTGAGTTAACAATACAGGCAATGAAACTTGGCTTACAGTAGTATAATTTTTAACTTACCTTACCTCATGGTAATGTGCATATTACCTTTGCTCATCCGATACAAAGATTGGAAACATGATCGATAAGTATCCTTGTTGAATGCTATCATGAAACTGATGACGTGTCGATCTCGTCCTTACCTTACCTCATGGTGTCTTGCACCCTGCCTACGATGGATCACCTCCTCCCCACTTTGGACTCCGCTCGGACTTCAGGATTCGGATAAAGTGACGTGTTCTCGTCACATGACGAGATTGGGGGGCGTGCTTCCGCTCGCCGGACAAGATCGACACGTCACCAGTTTCATGATAGCATTCAACAAGGATACTTATCGATCACGTTTCCTATCTTTGTATCGGATGAGCAAAGGTAATATGCACATTACCATGAGGTAAGGTAAGTATTTAAATATCTAAAATATTTAGATTTTAATAATTCTTTGAAGAAATTCCCACATGACATTCCCTTCCACCCCCGAATCAAAATTCACACTAATAAAAGCAGAAGTCAGTAACATGTGTGACCTCCCAGGGCACACACACATGTTCACACACACATAAACACACGTTTGCACACCTTGCAATGAGCTGGGTATGAGACATGTAAGTTGAAGCCACCCTGTGTTGAACATTTATTATCACTCTATTCTGAATTATTATGTTGAACAAAAACTGTATTTACAGATAAATAATATTTCCTGGTGCAAATCATTGACAGTCCTGTGAATATTTGCAGGTATTTGATGATTGGAACAAAGGCGAGCTTAAATCCTTCTTGATTGAGATCACGAGAGACATCATGAAGTTCAAGGACGATAAGGGGGATTACCTTGTCGAGAAAATCAGGGACTCTGCTGGCCAGGTAAGCAACACTGGTGAATGAAAAGGAATTGAAAGAGAAATTTCTTTTTCACTCTTACTCACAACCCTGAAGATGCAGATTAGAACAGGTATTTAACAACCTTGTTGAAAGAGGCGACTATTTGGATCGGGTTGTCAGCCTTGCAGACATAGTTTGACACGTCATTGTATCCCAGTTGATCGATGTTCTCCTGTTGATCACTGGTTTGATTGTTTACAGCCTACCATCATACGGCGGGAATGTTGCTGAGTGTAAAGCAACAAACAAACAAACAAACACTCTTCCTCATAAAAAATTAACATTTGATGGATCATCAGGTTGTTGATATTTATGAGGCAACTGAATTATGTGTGGTGTCATTTGTTTATGTCCCTTTAAGGGGCGGTGGGGTAGCCTAGTGGTTAAAGCATTCGCTCGTTACGCCGAAGACCCGGGTTCGATTCCCCACATGGGTACAATGTGTGAAGCCCATTTCTGGTGTCCCCCGCCGTGATATTGCTGGAATATTGCTAAAAGCGGCGTAAAATCATACTCACTCACTCACTCACTTATGTCCCTTTACATGAAGACTGATTATAAATATACCTACTCAGTTTGGTGCATCGAGAATTGAGTTTGAACAAACTTATTATCCACTTTATTTTAATTGGCTAATCCATTGTTGAACCTGGGATGGTGAGTGACTGAAGTACGGTTGACATATGTTACTGTGCGAGTTGGATTCTTTACCATGATCCACTCAACATATGTACATATAGTTGCTCCATGATCTATCCGAGTGGTGGGGTAGCCTAATGGTTAAAGCGTCCGCTGTTCACGCTGAAGACCCAGGTTTGATTCCCCACATGGGTACAAGGTGTGAAGTCCATTTCTGCTGTTCCCCGTCGTGATATTGCTGGAATTTTGCTAAAAGCGGTGTACAACTAAACTTGCTCGCTCACTCACAAATGATGTGTCAGCATCTTTTCATGCTTTCACCCAGTAGTAACTGAAATTTTGTGGTATAACTGAAATCAGCTGTAAGCCGAGCATATTCTGTATCTATTGTAATAAATGCTCTGTTCCGAGAATAACCCGTTGACCAACTGGAAGTTATCTATATAAGTCTTCCCTACTAAAACTGAAGATGTACTTGAGAGGTTGACGTTTTACAAAGCGAACGTTGCGCTAAGCTGATCGTAACTGGCATACCTAAACATAAACTAATGAAGGTGGTGGCAATACAGGGTATTTTTGTACAATGGCACCATTTGCTTATGGTAACTCAATTCATATGTTTAATAAGTGGTCACTTTGACTCCTTTGTAAGTGCTTGGGGCTCTTATTGTGATGATTTAGTTTTCTTGTATTACTTTGTAATGAAATCTTTATAGTGTTCAATTTTGTTGATTTCAGAAAGGCACAGGGAAATGGACTGCTATTTCATCTCTGGAGTATGGAGTTCCTGTCACACTTATAGGTAGTAGAGTCTTTTCAGCTGACATCTTCCCAATGTGTAGCTTGTTGTGGGTGTCAACTTCTGTCTCTACTTAAATGGCACCTTCATGTGTTGAAGTTAGTGGGCGGTGGGGTAGCCTTGTGGTTAATGTGTTGGCTTGTCACGCTGAAGACCCAGGGTTGATTCCCCATATGGGTACAATGTATGAAGCCCATTTCTGGTGTCTTTCAACGTGATATTGCTGGAATATTGCTAAAAGTATAAAACCCAACTCACTCACTCACTCAGGAAGTTAGAAGGGCATGAGTGGCCCAGTGGTGGAAGATGATGCAATTCCCTGTGTAGAGTTGTTTCCCTTGGGCACACCAGAAATTTACTTTTGTGGGTTCTAATCCAACTCCACCCCAGTTTCGACCCTAAGTTTGTTAACATTATAATGATGATGAGGACAAACTTTATGGATGTACAACTTTTTTCGGATGATGTGACGTTTCGATATAGATTCTTGTCAAGCAAGTTGTCTAAACATTTCAAAGAAGGAAATCATACTCGGGTTTGTGGGTTCTGTTACATTCCAACTTTAAGCTGACTCACGTTGATATAACTGGAATACTGTAACATTGTATAAAAAGTAATAAATGTCGGTATATTTTTAGTTTTTGCTGACCTTGATTTGACATGGATTGTTGCACATTCTAATTACAATCTGACCTTGAGTCAGTTCTGATGCTGGAATATGCAGTGTAAAACAACATTCACTCACAGACAAAGCAGTTTCAGTTTTGTAGGAATATAGGACAGGTTCATTCGAAGACAAAATTGTAACTGAGCAAAAAAATCTTTTGTGTCCAGGTGAAGCTGTGTTTGCCCGGTGCCTGTCATCATTACAAGCCGAGAGAGTGGAGGCCAGCAAGCAGATCTCTGGTCCAAAAACTAGCAAGTACACTGGGGACAAGAAGAAATTCATTGAGGCCATCCGACAGGTAAAATAGCCTGAATAAGCAGGCAAGCATTGTTGTTTATATGACAGATGCAAGTCAGTTAAGATGTATTAAAACTATACCTAAGGCATATAGACTGTTAAGAGTGTCATTATGTTTTCATCAATTGCCTAATGAAAAGGGGTAGTCGGGTAGCCAAATGGTTATGGTGTTTGCTTGTCACACTAAAGACCCAGGTTCAATTCCCCAAATGGGTACAATGTGTGAAGTCCATTTCTGGTGTTCCCTGGCGTGACATTGCTGGAAGTTTGCTAAAAGTGTCATGAACTAAACACTGTCAGTCAGGTTAAACATTATGCCAAAACATCCAAAAGTTTTAAGAAAGTCCTTATGTCATCGCCAATTGCTTCTTGAAAACTTTACTGTTTCAACATTATCATAGTTGGAAAAGAAGTTAAATTTTCACTTTCACTGCTTAACAGTTCTTTTCAACGTGGATAAACACACGAATGAATATACTGCTAAGTGGCACCCATTATTTTGATATTACTGTATGTCATGCCATGTATGAATGTGGCGTTAAACAACTAACACACCTCCAACCAGTGTTTTGTGTTAACTTTTTGTGTGTTCGACAAGGAATCCTTTTCATTCTCAAAGAAGGTCTTTGTTAGAGAATTCATTAAAGTTTCAAGATTGATCCATCTTTTGATGTAGCAGTTGATGATCAATTATGAATGAAAATAGACTAATCATCATGCTAAATGCTTGTCTCCTTCTTCTTGCGAATGATAGTGGAACACCTGAAATCCATTGAAGTTCCCTTCTAAAAAGCGGACGTATAATCATCACTCACCCACGAGTAGTCTCCCTTGCCTCCTTTGGCGCCCTTTTTGGTCACATGACCAGCCATGGTTTATGGTTTATCTTTAATACATGTCACACTTAATGTTGTTTTTCAAACAAAGTAAGTAAAATTGTATTCCCCAGGCACTGTACGCCAGCAAGATTGTGTCCTACGCCCAGGGATTTATGTTGATGCGGGAAACAGCCAAGGAACTGAACTGGAAACTCAACTTTGGTGCAGTCGCACTCATGTGGAGAGGAGGCTGCATTATCAGAAGGTATTGTGTCCAAACATAACCTTGCTTGTGTTTCAGTCTGTTCCAGCAGGTGTATTGGATTGAGAGTAGCATCAGAGAGGGGAAGGTGGATGTATAATAGATGACATAAATAGATGGTACTTGTTATTCAGCCTTTTGTCTTGGATTAAGGAGATAAACAAACAATCTTGTTAAACAGCATTACAGGTCACTTTCTGTTTTTGTTATCTTCTCTGAATGATGAAGGCGTGACCTTCAGTGTCACATGAAACAGTGAGAGATTTGTCACTGGTAAACCCTGTGTTTCAGCGTGTTCCTTGGGAACATCAAGGAGGCATTTGACAAGAACCCAGATCTGAAAAATCTCCTCTTGGACGACTTCTTCAAGAAGGCAATTCAGAATTGTCAGGTCAGTGACACAAGTTCCCTTAGAAACTGATTTACCTTTAAGAGGCTTTGTGTGTGAAATTAGGATTGTTGATTCTTTGGTAGTGGACCAACAGTTGCAAATGTTTAAATTCTGAATTGATTTTGTAATCTCTTTATTGAAGAGTGGAAGTTTAGATCATCTAAGCACTAAGATCTGTATGGAATGAAATCATTATTTTAAATCTCAAGGGGAGGTACGGTAGCCAAATGGTTAAAGAGTCACTCATCAAGCTGAAGACCAGGGTTCGATTTCCCACGTGGTGCAACGTGTGAAGCCCATTTCTGTAGTCACTCATTGGACTATTTCTAAAAGTGGCATAAAACCATACTCACTCACTCAAATCTTAATGGGAATTACTCTAAGCAGTAAGATATGGAATGTTGTTATTCCAGAAGTCTATGTTAAAGCATGTGAGTTGTGCATTTGTAGTGATTTTAAGTCACATGTTTCGTTCCAGTGAGCCTATAATATGACTGAACTATGATTAAACTATGATTGAACTAGGATTAAGCTATAACTTAACTAGGGTTGAGCTATGGCTGAATAATTAAACAATGACTGAACAAGGATTAAGCTTTAACTGAACTATGATTGAGCTATGGTTGAATGAGTAAACTATAATTGAACTAGGATTAAGCTACATGGATAACTGAACTAGGGTTGAGCTATGGCTGAATGAGTTAACTATAATTGAACTAGGATTAAGCTATAACTGAACTATGAACTATAACAGGAAGCCTGGAGACAAGTGGTGTCGACAGCAGTGTTGTTGGGAATCCCGACACCGGCGTTCAGTACAGCTCTAGCATTCTTCGATGGGTATCGCAGCGAAAGACTGCCAGCCAACCTCATCCAGGTACAGTAATGACAGATTGACAGCATTTGTAGTGATCTCCCCTATTTGGGTGCAGGATCAGAAAAGGTTTCCAGTATTCAGTGTTAGTTGTGAGATCTGACTAAAGAGGATCAAATGGTCAGACTTGGTGACTTGCCTGATTTGATGTTATCTCGCCCAGTAGGTTCCCAACACCTCATTACTTTATTTTGTTTACACCTTGAACATTGCTAACCCGTGAAGATCTGGGTTAGAATTGATCTTCAGTAACCCGGGATCGGGAGGTCAGGCTCGCTGACTTGGTTGACACATGTCATCGTATCCAAGTTGTGTAGATCGATGCTTATGCTGTTGATCACTGAATTGTCTGGTCCAGATTCAATTATTACAGACCGCTGCCATATAGCTGGAATATTGCAGAGTGCGGCATGAAACTACTCATTCACTCATTGAATATTGCTGACTGCAGTATTTCACAACATTTTCTCATTTTGTAATGGTATTTGCCAAATAATTCCTTCTAAGGATATGAAATAGCTGTGTTGTAAACCAACAAGTACCCTTCAGTTGTCAGTGTCATATATTTGGGGATAAAGTGTTCCTCTGTTAGATGATTGGCCCCTGGTCATATGTCTTGTAAAAAATATACTAGACAAAAATAGTTAGGGATATATGTAAATTTTGAAATTATGAATAATGATCTATTTATTCATTGACACACTGATGAAAATCAATCATAAAAATACCAATATCCCTAACTTATTTTGTCCAGTATAGAAGGAGGGTCCATGATTTAACTGACGGCATGTAATGATTGCTGTTTACTGTCAGTATCTCCCTGTGTCTTTGGAAACAGCAGTTGGACTTAGGTAGGAGTAAGGGACAAGGGTGGGCTTATTTGTTGAAGGGGCTGCAATTTTCTGTCCGAGTTGAGCCGCCTCTGTGGCGTAGTGTGGTTAGAGCATCCACCCGAGAGTGGAAGGTCGTGGGTTCGATCCCCAGCCACGTCATACCAAAAGATGTTAAAATATGGTACTTGTTGGTCCCTGTCAGGCACACAGCATTAATGGGTACAACAAGGACTGGTCGGCTTGGAGTCAGTATAATGTGTCTGAGTGGGGTATTCATGCTTAACTGCGGCATGGTATCTCAGTGAGCTAGCTCTATAAAACCAGCTTAAGTCTGGGTACAAGCAGCCACACATACACACGCATGCACGTCATCAAATGAGCAAAAGATTCTTAAGTACGATGTTAAACCCCATTTCAACTCACCTCAACTCACCTCTGTCAGAGTTGTGTCCCTTGGGCATGCCAGAAACCTATCATTGTGAGTTCCAATCTCATTTTGCCTCAGTTATGTTGCCAGGTTTTCAGCACGTTATCCCCGCTGGTGGCTTTGATAAATGTCTGAGATAAAGCTGATCCAACTTAATATTAAATGCAACAAATCTTAGCTTAATGTTTATTCATTAAAAAGTAAAAATCAATCTGTTTCAGGCACAAAGAGATTATTTCGGAGCCCACACATATGAACTTCTCGCAAAGCCTGGCACCTTTGTTCACACCAACTGGACAGGCCACGGAGGGAGTGTCTCATCATCCACATACGATGCTTGATTTGACAAGATCATAGACCGCTCAACATCCACAACACAATCACACTCTTCTGTAGAGTATTTTGACCTTATAAAGAGCAATTGATCATATTTTCAGATAACATCCTTCTTGAGGCTTATTACAAATGGCTTCAGATGCCAAAAACATAGTCTGAACTGATTTTAGAGTGACCGACACTTCAGTCAGGTCCTGATGTTTTGTTTTAGGTATAAGTTTTGTTTTCAGTTGCAAAATGTCCAGCTAGTTGGCCCCTTATATATTTTAAATTTTTCATAAGTTCTTTCATTTCAAGAATTTTGTTTTGGCTGAAATTTCAGGATTTGAAAAGAAATATACATACAGTGATCTTCATGAGGGGAAAATGTGTTCATAATTCTTTATGTGAAGCTTGTTTTTTTCTGCAACTTACCAGTAGATTTACACTTTTAAACTTACATCTTGACATTGTTATGATTATTTAATCTACACTTGTTTCATGCTTATTGGTTATTGTTACCCATTATGTATAAACAGGAACTGTTCAGGAGGAAGATCCAATAAACAAAAGTTTGTTTTTACCTGTCTATATGTATTATGTATTATGTATCAAATAGTGACCAATATCTAGTGTAGCTCCATTTTCTCAAGATATATACTCTGGACTAAATCACCACCATAGCTCTTGATTGTTTTGGAAGCAATGTCATAATCCCTCACAACAGAGCACTTGATTATGAGCTTGAAATCAGCAATTAATCAAATGTGTTTTTTCTAAACGAGTTATACGTGAAGCCCATTTCTGATGTCTCCTGCCGTGATATTGCTGGAATATTGCTAAAAGTGTCATAAAACCATACTCATTAACTCACTCACTCTAAATGGGTTAAGCCCAGAAAATCAAAATTTGAAAAACTGTTTTAACTGTATTACCCTAACTTTATGAATGTGGAAAGATGATCCCTGGAGTATTAAGTCAAAAAAGAAATAGTGCTATTTGCGCTTGAAACAGAACTCAAGAAGGTGAAAGGTTATGGCAACAAATAACTGACCATCTGTGAAGAATTGTGACATTCAGGGGGCATTCAGGTTTTGCATTACATCATCAAATCAAAGCTGGTATTTTTCCAGGGTATTAGTCATTACAGAATGAGTATGTAGTTCCATGTGTTATCGAGGATGGTCTGTAAACAGTTTGTGCTCTGTATCAATCTCTGATCCAACATCACAACTGTTTATCAAATTAACCATGTCAATATCTAAATATTTGTAATGTGCCTTTTCCAATTGTTTAGTAATATATTATATGTTTGTGTTATTTTGTTATGGCAAGTGTTCCTTGTAAGTGTAGGTTTGAAGTCATTATCGCATGTTATTTGTGAATTTTATAGATATAGAAACTTGCAGTACAACCCTCTTTGCTGGTGTATGGCTTAAGCTTAGATGGATCACAAGAGAATTTATGTTGCATTTTGAGTGGAAGTGAAATTCTGAAGGCTCGATATTTTTAACATTTATTGATTGCTTGTTTTGTTAGAGAAAAGTAGTGAACCATATTTATGATGTGTAAAATAACAGTTGCCATTTTGATGTGAGAAAAATTACCTAAACTTGTCATTCTACATGTTTGGATAATTACCCAAGTTTGAAAATAAATACTGGACTGTAAGATAAAAGATTGGTTTTAGTTTGGAGATACTGACACATTTGGAGATCTAATTTAAGATCTTATTCTTTATAAGTAGTATCTTTCATATTTTACCTGTCATCAGTAAGTTCTTCTTAGCTTTCAAGCAAGTGAACTTATGTGTACATTTGTATTTCGAAGCAAAAAGAATCTTTTCTGCAGAAACTTGCAAGGTAAAGTGACATCTGTTATTTTCAATTGTTGTTTAAAGGCGCTATTTCACACCACACTTCTCTAAAAATACATAATGCATTTCTCTCAATAATACTAGCAGCCATCAGCGAAGCTACCATATAATATATTCCCCCAAAAACTTACGTATTTAGATTACAATATTGAATTAAAAAGTTCAAAGAATTAAATTGAGTCTCGGGGCCCTCTACTGCCCGAATGTTATTTCAAGCGAAGCCTAAAGTGTTATGTCCCTTGAAGCGCTCTTTATAAATACCCTATAACTCCTTGGTAGACAGAACTCAGTCCTAGACAAAAACACTCACAACTTGTGATTGAAACCAGTTTGGCAAACACTGACAACACATCGTGGGACAGTTTTCGATGTACATTGTTTACATTCAATATATGGCAAGTGTTCACTGTTTGGAAGCTGTTCGCCTCGAAGTTTCAATTATGGGTTTCAGGCAAGTTGTAAGGAATAATGAGTCTTTTATTACATCAATAGGAAGCTAAAGTGAGTGCATATGCCCCCAATATATATATACAGCTTGTTCAGCTTGACCTGATCAAGTGAATACTAATGCATTGCGTGACCGTGTCACAACTGGTTGGGTCTATTATTGTGAATAGGTGCACCTTTGTCAGTTGATTGTCAACATGTCCGAACAGCCGAGTCAAGGTCGCCGTTTGACATCTCAGTGTCGAGAAATGTCCTAACTGCCTTTAAAAAAAGAAGCTACAGATGGTTTAATGTCCCGATTCATGAAATAGAAAAAGTAATAATTGAACTGGGTGCAGAGGGTGACAGCAAGAGTGAATCGGATTGTGAAAGCAACTGACGTCTGTACGTTGTGAAGTTAGTAAACCAAGCTAGACTATAAACAATTCAATTAAAACATGAAATGATTATTTTTTCAGAAGTGTTGTTTTCGGACAGGATCTGTAACGAATCCATATATGCATGCTTTGCACAATGCAACATTAATTATATTCTCTGCTCCCCTATTTAATGAAGTTAACTTGACCTGCCGTTTTTGCCATTTGACCTCCCGGGTCATGCATATGTAGAGTAGCTCAGGTCAAGCTGAACAAGTTGTAATATAGACCAAGATATTGTCGAAAATGTGTGAAATTGTGCCTTTAACCATGTCTGGTGTATGTTGTGTGTGTCTTCAAATATCAACATGTTCGCTTCCTCATTGTTAATGTTATATATTATTTGAAAAACTTTTCAGTAATATCAGTCTTTTATGTATTTTGTTCTGCATAATGAATAAGTGAAAGTAAGATTTACAGCAGTGCTTTTTATTTTTCTACAGTGACAATTGTAGATATCAGGGGGAAATAAAGAAATTTATTTAAGAAATTTATTGTTACCTGATTTTTTGTGTTGTTGCTCTATTTCAGTGACTGCCTTACACTATTTGTTGTGTACACTTGAAAAACACTATTGGCTGCGGAACAGTTATCTTATCACGCGTGCACAGTTCCGGTCAATTACACTTTTGGTATTTTTTCACACAGTATTTTGACAACAAAGTACAGCAAAAAAAAAATCTTCTGGGGGTGGGATGAGGGGGAGAGGGAGGGGGAACATCATAAATTGTTTCACTCCCTACCTATCAACTGTAAAAAAAGCACTCAACTAGTCACACAATCAATTGTTCGAGGTTACTTTATGATATAAATATGTATAATTTTTTCATAGGTCACATGATGAATTCTGAAATGGCTGATAACTGTTAAAGTTATTTATGAGGAAACATGTATTTGTACTGATGGCTGTGGTGGAGGGGGCAGGAAGATAGATGATTTTCATGGAGAAGCATGTACAATGTGAATGACACCCCCTAAAATTTATGTTCAAAGAAAGTGACCCCCTTGCATGTCATGTATAAAATCAATAACAACCCTTCCTCCTAATTTTTAGCATTATTATCCCCACGCAGGGGTTATAGAAACGAGAAATGTCCGCCCGTGCATCCATCACACTTTGTCCGAAGCATATCTCCTAAACTATTGGTGATGGCTTAACCAAACTTGGTACACATGTTAACCATAATCCCTAGATGTGCCTTTTGGGGATTAGACCCAGATATGAATTTTATTTGATACGGTTTCCATGGAAACGTGACTTGGGCTGTGGCTATGAGGATGCCATCTTGTCTGGAGCAGATGTCCTAAACTATACATGCTAGCTTCATCAAACTTGGTACACATATCAAGCATGATCCATAGATGTACCATTTGATGGTTAGCCGAAGATACAAATATATTTTTTGTGGTTTCCATGGAAACGTGACTGAGGCTGTGACTATGAAGATGTCATCTTGTTGCATTTCCATGGCAACAAGTTAGGCTTCAACTGAATTTGGTGGTAGTCATCCTTTCTGGAGCAGATCATAAAAATCTTTCAATACTCTCCTTCCACTTTGCTATATACACTCCAAAACATTTCACATAATCATAACTAGTAGACATATTCGTAAAGAGTATTTTGCCATTGCGGGGATATTGATGACTTTGTCTTCTTGTTTTTAAATATTTTATGTACAAAATTGCTTCTTATTTCAGAATCTAAAAAGGAGTCAGTTGTCCCTGTAAGGATACTGATAAATAGGAAAGCATAAACAGCATAATTTTGAAACTAGATATGATGCCGTCCATAGTGCCAGACAAGGCAGAGAAAATGCTGATATTATGTGATATATTTCCTTACTAGATTTGCTTGTACTTTCATTTTCATTATATCTGTATCCTCTTTGGAAGTTTTCTGAGCAATCCCTATATGTATCCTCCGTAAACTAGAAGCCCGAGACATAATGATTGCAATGTTTGTGCAAGTGATTTTTATGAGATACATGTGCATGTATATGTTAATTAGCATATATTGGCCCATTCTCCTGTGTTTTCATTGCAAATTAAGCAAAAACTTCATATCAGGAAATGTGTAAAAAATCAGGCCCTCAAATCAGGAAATTTGTAAGTTTTCTGAAAATTTCAGGAAATGTGTACATTTACTGAGTGAATCGGAAATGTACACATTTCCTAAATATTCCAGGATATTTACACATTTCCTGATTTGACACATTCACTGTAACATATACATGTGATACATTCTTTTAAGAATATTCAAACTATAATTTTAATATGTTCACTGAGTACATGTCTCATGTGAAACACATTCCTTTGTACACTTGTTACATACATCCTTGTTTTGAAGAGTGAAGGGGAATACCAAGAGGTTTTTTGTCCATGTTGGGGTGGTAGGGTAGCCCAGTGGTGAAAGCGTTTGCTCATGACGGAGAAGGCAAACTCCAACGCTGTTAGGAGAATGGTTGAAGGGTTGAGGTCAATCAAGATTTAACATGGAGGCAAAACTTCACAGTATTGACTAACTCCCATGCTTGTCGTAAGAGGCTAACGGGATCAGGTGGTCAGGCCCCAGTTGTGTAGATCGATGCTCATGCTGTTGATCACTGGCTTGTCTGGTCCAGATTCGATTATTTACAGACCGCTGCCATTTTCAGACACATGCCAGTTATATTCGGACACTTGACGTCATATCCATAGACTTACATGTTATTTAAGTGTAGCATGAATAATTTTCATCTCTGCTCTGCGCACATAATTTCAGTTCAATTTTCCGACCACTATTTAACTAATGACATCACATTTATGAACTTACTATAGTTCCACAATGCACAATCCCATAGGCCGCCATGTTAAAGGAGTTCACGGCACTGTACATATGTTGATTAAATTGTTGCCATTCGATAAATAAGCAACGGACAATTAAACAGAAATTACGTGATTGTTAGGTAAGTTGATTCCTCACAAATGTGCAAAATTTGACTTGGATCATACGAAAATTAAATTTATGAAAATTATTTATGCTACACTAAATTAACATGTAAGTCGATGGAAGTTACGTCAAGTATCCAAATATAACTGGCACGGGTCTGTAGCTGGAGTATTGCTGAGTGCAGTGTCAAACTAAACTCACTCACTCCATACACAACCGTCATATACATCGCGCAGTACCCTTTTCTCACTTGATCTTCTCAAATGACGTGTCACAAGTGCGTAGAAGTCTGGTCGAAGTGTAAAGACTATCAAGTCTGTATACCTGTATACCTTAAACGAGGAGTGATTCCATGAACCGTTGTCTAAGCATGATTACTTTTAGAAGTGGGTGGCCGCACTATGTGGACGATTGGGAAAATTATTTAATTGACAGAGTCCGGATATGTTTCTTCCGTACGTGTGTTATAAACAATCATCATATTCAGGTATATGGTGTTGCAGATAGAGCAGGCTACATACACAAACGTGTCTTAGAGGGATCCGCAAGATTGCCTAAAAGAGTGAACTACCTTCAACCGTTTTCAAGTGTACTTTTAAATATACATACAATACAACCAGAAATTATTGAGAATTTAAAGATTGTAATGTTTTTTAACTCATTACTCACGTATTTAATGTGAATATTAGCAGAACATAACTCCAGATTCAAAGACAGGTGAACAGTTAGTATTTTGTCAAGTCACCATGGGCAGTAATGCAGACTTCAATGCGGCGGGGCATACTACTGATCAAAGAAGTTAGAAAGTCGTGGTCCATGCTGTCCCAATATCGGACCACCTCTTCTTTCATTTCAGCAATATTTGTCAGATTTTGCTTATTGACACTTTCTTTGAGAAGTCGCCAAACATGTTCTGTTGGATTTAGGTCAGGGCTATAGCTTGGCCAATCTAATAATGTCACATATTGGGTCCGAAACCAGGCCTGTGAATGTTTTGAACGATGTTTTGGGTCGTTGTCCTGCAGGAAAATCCAAAACTTTCCATAGAACACGTGAGCAGATGGCAGTAAATGTCCCTCGAGAATATCTGTGTACCGCTCACTGTTCATATCCCTTCAAATACACAGAGGGGCGTTGCCCCTAACACAGATAGGCCACCCCCACACGTGAAATTTCGGACTGTACTTTGGGCGCTAATACAAAGGTTTTTCAGTTTGTTTGGTCCAGAATTTCAGTGTATTAGGAAACAGCCACACAGAACTTTCATTTGAGAAAATCACACTGTCCCAGTTAAAACTTCTGTGCTGTAAGCACCAGTTCAACCTTCGCTCCTTTTTTTCAGGTTTCATGATCGGTGATGGAATTCCTCGACTTTTCTGCCAACCGATTGCATGCAGCTCAGTTCTAATTGTCTCCTTACAGACAGCCACAGTTCCTCTATCAATCATATCCAGCCTTAACTTTTCAACACTCCTTCGTTTGTTTTAAGAAACAAGAATACAAAGCCGCCTCCTGTCACCGACAGTCAATTTTCTTGGCCTACCTGCGCCTCCCTGGTGCTCAATGCCATATCCATTTGCAATATTTTTCAAAACACGATAAACAGTACGTGGACAAAGGGATGCCTGTTCTACTTGAAATCACTTTAGCTGATCTGATGTCCTTGTTATAATACTCTAAAATCAACTTCCTCTTCTCTAAAGCATCCATACTGAGGATCACGGAAAATGTCATCTGCTAGCAAGTAAACAAAGGGGGATAACCCTTCACAAACTAATGAAAAAGGATTAACGGAGTTTTCTCTCTTGAATGAAACCAAGCACTTGATAGCTGGTCAATGTAGTTTATACTAGAAATCCAATTAAACATATTCCTAAAATTCTCAATAATTTCTGGTCATACTATATATATATAAACACAAAACACCCCTGTACCCCACATCTGAACCCTTTGGAGCATATCTGGGACATGATTGGTTTGTACATAGGAGCAAAAGGTAGGGAGTTTCCGGTGTTAAATGACCCATTTTCACCGTTACCTTTCCAAGATCCCATCCCCTCCCAAAATGGGCACAATGTGTGAAGCCTATTTCTGGTGTCCCCTGCCGTGATATTGCTGGAATATTGCTAAAAGCGGTGTAAGATCATACTCACTCACTCACTCACTCTTTTAGCTCAAACAGTGGAATATTGCTAAAAGCGGTGTAAGATCACACTCACTCACTCACTCACTCACTCACTCACTCACTCTTTTAGCTCAAACAGGTGAATGGTTGGTGGGGTTATATTCTGAATCCAAAGATTCCAACCTAACAGTATTTGATGGAAATTATACCTTTTCATTCAAAACATTGAATTGGTGAAGCATGTATCGTCATGTTTTTTGTCTGTTGATCATATGCTGAGAGGAAAGTCACCAAAGATGAAGGTAACCATGGACATGTGGGGACAGTGGTCTCTGTCCAGATTATGTCCCTTTGTCTTGGCAGGATACTCTCATGATGGGTTTGAACCCAAGATTTAAAAATCATCTTTCTGTCAGCACCTTACAAATGATTTACATGAAAATGGAAAGTGACCTTGACCTCCATCATTTCAAGCTAAATATGGATGTTAATATGGTCAGAACGCAAACTCATAAGGTGAGGTTTTGTCAGTCTTTGGTGACCCTTTGAGGGCAATCTGGAATGTTAAAAGATGATAAATTTGAGGTTCTTTACAAAGATTTTCAGCCGGTGGCGTAGCCTAGTGGTTAAAGCGTCGCTCGCCACGCCGAAGACCCGGGTTCAATTCCCCATGTGTACACCACCGTGATATTGTTGGAACTTTGCTAAAAGTAGTGTAAACTAAACTCACTCACTACAAAGAGTTTAAGCTCACCAGTGGATAACTACAGGAACAGATTTCTTCAGGAGATGTCTCTATATCTATATATACTGACCGAAGAATATAATAAAACGTTGTCAATTTGACAACTAAAAGTGCCTTAGATAACAACTTGAGTTGTCAATTTGACAATGGGTAACTTTTTGACAATGCATTTGGGTTGTCATTCACATGGTTGTATATTTAAATTGTTGTCCAGAAATATTCAATTTGAATATATTATATATTCAAAATTGGCAATGGAAAAGATGTCAATTTTAATGTATTTCGATTGTCACAATGACAATGGCATGATATAAACACACAACCAGTGGCAAACAATATAAGTAGCATACGGTAAGTATGACTACAAATACAAAATACAATTCATGCATTTAGGAATAAGCATTATCTAGTGAAAATAAACATGAACACTTGTGTGGAGAACAATATCTTTTATTTCTGAACAATGTGTACTGTATTTCATTAGTATATGAACAACGAGTGTATATGGTTTTAACCCACATATATAGAGGTGTGTGTGTGTGTGTGTGTGTGTGTGTGTGTGTGTGTGTGTGCATGTATGCGTGCGTGCGTGCGTGTGTGTGTTAACCACGTCAGCGAGCCTGACCTCTCAATACCGTTAGTCGCCTCCTTCGACAAGCATGGGTTATTGATTATCAATTCAAATTGTTGTATATTATACCTGTATAGCCGTGTTAATGGTTGAATAGCAAAGAATGTACATGTAAATGGGATAATAACATGCCATCTGCTGCCTGAATAACAACAATGTACACGCTGCTGCCTCAATAGCAATGTACTACAGGGGCGGATACAGCTTTTTATCCCCCGCCGCGCGTTTAGCGCGAAGCGGGGGATATAGTATTAGGCTCCGTCCGTCCGTCCGTCCGTACGCACGAATTGGAATATCCTAAGAACGGTTGACTGGATTCTTTTCATATTTGGTACCCACGTTTATCACAGTAAAAGAAAGGTCCCAGTCAGGTTTGGTGACCTTGACCTTCATTTCAAGGTCACAAGGGGACTTTAACGTGTTACCCTTGTCAGCAAGATATCTCAAGAACCGTTCTCTAGATTTTCTTCATATTCAACACCAAGCTTTATCTAGGGAAGGCGCAGGGTCCAGTCGATTTTGGTGACCTTCACTTAATTTTCAAGGTCACGGCGACACTTTGAAGATTTCAGCATGTTAAACTGCATGTTAAGATTGTGAACGAGATATCTCAAGAACAGTCCGCTGGATTTTCTTCATAGACTTTCAAGACTTCCCTTGAATGTTATTCAATAAGCAGTTTCTTTATTACTATTTTTGCATATTTCATTGCTTATGTACTAGCTAGTATTCCAGAAACGGAGCTGTTGTGTAAATTTATATTAGTTTCGCCAATATCATTGCCCGAACTTCCAGCTTACAACTTATTCAGATATTTCGTTTACGAATAGTGTCAAGTCTGATAATGCAACGTAACGTTTCACAAACTTTATGCCTAACATTTGTATGGCTTGAGGTTGTCAAATTTGTCTGTTTGATAATTAAAATATTTCCTCATTTATTCTTTTCTGACAGCACCCAACCCCACAAACACATCCACTTACAAGCCAACTGTTGACCTGAAGGACAACAGTATACATACTTGGAGAGATAGCAAATATTTATCACGATCTGTTATCATAAGTGAAAGTTATTTCTTATTCTCACAGTCATTGACGGACGGTGGACAATTTGTTGAGAAAGCTGTCCATGCATACTACAATGATTATACAGCGCAAAACGTGTAAAATGCCCCTTACCTACAAACGTTGCTTCGTGGAGACACTTCAGACCGAACTATTGAATATTCATGACTGTTCGATATCCCAGGCGTGTGTCGAATCAACCTGCGAACTTTGATCGATACTGTCTTTCATGTTGAACGTTCATGTTGTGTTGAAATTATACACGATGGCCTCACCATGCAGACAGCTAAGGAAACGACGAATGGTCTTTATTTGTTTATTAATAAGCGTCATTGTCACTCTGATGTATAGTATAAGGGCGAATCCCAATGACTTGTCTCGTGAATTGCCAGATCCCTTGTTAAGTCTTCACCATCCCGACGATCCCAATGTGAAACTCGTGTTTGCTCAAATGAATCTGACGCATCCAGGAGTCGGTGGGACAGGTCTATTGTTAGATGTGTCGAAACTACCCAAAGAAGAAGCCGAGAAGTTCCAGAGGAGTTTGGAGCAGAGGGAGTACTCCAGTTATACCAGTAGTCTCATACCTCTCCAGAGATCTCTGCCTGATATCCGTCTTAAAGGATGTCACTCGTTGTACACAGACCTCAATCTCCCTGAAACCAGTGTGATCATTATCTTCTACAACGAGCACTGGTCAGTCGTGTTACGGACTATCCACAGCATCATGGACAACACTCCACCTCATCTCATCAAGGAGGTCATCTTAGTGGACGATGCGTCCACAGACGAGGTTCTGAAGGAACCGTTAGAGGAATATGTCTCCCGATTCAGGAAAGTACAGCTACTGCGAGCTGAGTCCCGGCAGGGTTTGATAAGAGCGCGGATGATGGGATTTGTACAGTCTACGGCTCCTGTAGCAGTGTTCATGGACGCACATTGTGAATGTTTTCCTGGCTGGCTGGAACCACTGGTGACAAGGATTGCCGAAAATCAGAGTATAATAACTACCCCCTACCCTTCACTCATTAGATTCTAGAAGCTTCAAAATCGTCAAAATCCACGAATGGGGGAAGCGAAAGAGTCTTTTAATACCCACTCTTACCTTCCCCAATCTTTTCTTCACCTGGTCCTCCATGTCAGAAGAAGAGTGGAAGAAGAGAACACGGGAGACTGATCCAGTTCGGTCTCCAGCCATGGTTGGATGTGTCATTGCCGTCAGCAGGAGTTGGTTCAAGAAACTTGGAATGTTTGATCCTGGTTTGGAAATCTGGGGTGGGGAGAATACCGAGTTATCTATCAAGACGTGGCTATGTGGAGGTGGACTGGAGATCATTCCCTGTTCGAATGTAGCGCACATGTACCATCCTCATCGACCATCAGAAGAAAGTGACATCAGGTACAAAAGAAACATAGCTCGAGTGTCCAACGTATGGTTGGACAAGTACAAACATTACACTGACAATTGTGACGGTAGCATTGCGGATTATGGTGACATTTCGGATAGGATAGCACTCAGAGATTCACTGAAATGTCATCCATTTGAGTTTATTTGACACACGTTTATCCAGATCAATTCATCCCAGGGAACGGTATTTACAGAGGTCCAATACGAAATGTTGAGTTTTCTACACTCTGTCTATATTTGGAAGGCGGAAAGAATGGGGATAAAGTCAATGTTTTGTTGTACTCTTGTCATGGGAAAGGAAATCAACTATGGGTTTTCACAGAACGTCGTGAGATTAGAATTGGAGGACAATGTTTAGATTCAGGATATGGAGAGAACGTTGTGATGCGGAACTGCCACGGTCTGAGACGTAACCAGGAGTGGGAGGTGAACAGTCTGGAAGGTCACGTGTTGCTCAAATCTCACGGATATTGTGTTGGTGTTACCAAAAGTGAATCTGCTCTTGTCTTGGGGAAATGCCACAATTCGGCACTTCAGCAATGGATCTGGAAGCAAAACAGGAAACCTAGGATTTCATAAACATATATTTTATATTCAGTTCCCAGTGCACAGAGAAAGCAGGTTTTCTATCATTCTTATCAGTATTCTATTGTTGATGAAGACATTTGCTATGACAAATCAAAAAGACGTGAGGATTGGAGTGAGTGAGTTTAGTTTCACACCGTACTCAACAATATTCCAGATAAATGGCGGCGGTCTGTAAATAATCGGGTTTGGACCAGACAATCCAGTGATCAACAGCATGAGCATCGATGTGCGCAATTGGGAACTGATGACATGTGTCAACCAAGTCAGCGAGCCTAACCACCCGATCCCGTTAGTCGCCTCTTACGACAAGCATGGGTTACTGAAGGTTCATTCTAACCCGGACCTTCACGGGTGTGAGGATTGGATGGTTGAGTATGGTAAAGTATGTGCATGAAATAATCAGTCCGTGATGACCTGTAAACGTCCACCTCGTGTCCAAGTTTGTTATTGTACGTAGATGCTACAGGTATGAAAGAGAGAAATATATGTTATAGATTGATTTCAAGAACTGCTATTCTTTGTCTCATTGAACATGATCAAAAGGTGATGGAAATATTAACATGTTTTTCTTCTTAGTTGAACTTAGAGATATGGATGATGAGACAAAGGGGCAGACAACTCCTTTTCAGTGTAAATGTATTTTTGTTTTTTAACCCGTAATGGAATTTAAAGATAGTAAAGTCACTATTGTTGTGTCAGCGTTAAATGGAATGTATTAGTATCGTTGACAAAGATAAAATATTTGCTCCTGTCAGTTAGAAGGAGTATGGTTATCTCGTACTTTTTCTCCATTTGGACAAATATTGTTCAGTACATGATTAATTATGGAGGTCATTGAATGACCAATGATTCCAGGGATAGACACATCAATCTGGGTACACACATGCCACTAGTCTTAAGATGAGGGACTAGTTTTCTGCCAAATCTTATTATTTTACATTAACACCTAGTTAGAAAAGATCTGCAGACTTGCTGGATTTGACCCCTGATCGAACACTTACAACATAATATTCAGATTTGTAGTCTGTTTGCCAGGTGAATTTTTCAGCAGAAAGCGATGTGAGTATTGCTGTAGTAAATATTGCAGTAGTAAATTGATAACCGAGGCAAATCATTAGAAACTGGAGGATTTGCGTAATCCAAAATGGCTGCCCTTGTTGCCTATGTCTGGAAGTGTTGTTCCCATCATGCGTATCGACAACTGTGTGAAGACTTACTGTTACTGGGTGACTCTGGTCGTCTCCTGTTGATTGTAGTCTCCTGACTCACTATGTGTGATGTGGAATTTATCACGTAGTGAGGCAGGGATGACCTTTTGTAAATAAAAGATATTATCCTGTGAACTGATTGTTACTATTATATTTGTCTTGTGGCAATTGTAATTCCTATTAAAGGATGTTTAGTTTTTTTTCTGAATTAAAGAAAAGGCCAAGTTCAGGCCAAGTTCAGATCAGCTCAGACATCAGGACCCGGTTTCACAAAGCTATCTTAGAGCTACGACTGTCCTAAGTCTATGTTACAGAATAGGAGTGAGTGAGTGTGTGTGTTTGGTTTTACGCCGCTTTTAGCCATATTCCAGTTATATCACAGTGGGGGACACCAGAAATGGGCTTCACATATTGTACCGATGTGGGGAATCGAACCCGGGTCTTTGGCGTGACGAGCGAACGCTTTAACCACTAGGCTACCCCACCATCCCAACAGTATAGGAGGTACGACAGTCGCTGCGCTGTGAAACGGGGCCCAGGTGAACACATCGTATGTGAATGGAGGGAGCAACACCGGATTAGCGTTGGCGACACTTTCAAAAGAGCACAGCTGTTTATTTGATGGTATGTTGCATGTGTTAAATGTATGGTGGAAGGAAATTCAATTTCAAATGTAGAAGTAATGTGGAATTGATTATGTTAACGGCATGAATTCTGTCAATGTTAGTTGTAAGGTTTGCGATTTTAGTTTTTTTCTTATTACATCGAACGACAGTATTCAAGAAACTATACAAGTTTCAAACGTAAAGATGCTTCCACTGCCAGCCCTACAAGGCGACAAATATTAATACATGAGTGCGGCGTAAAACTTAATGGTTAATGGTTGAATAGCAAAGAATGTACATGTAAATGGGATAATAACATGCCATCTGCTGCCTGAATAACAATAATGTACTCGCTGCTGCCTCAATAGCAGCCAATGTACATGTACAATGTACAACGAGATATCTCAAGAACAGTCCGCTGGATTTTCTTCATAGACTTTCAAGACTTCCCTTGAATATTATTCAATAAGCAGTTTCTTTATTACTATTTTTGCATATTTCATTGCATATGTACTAGCTAGTATTCCAGAAACGGAGCTGGTATGTAAATTTATATTAGTTTCGCCAATATCATTGCCCGAACTTCCAGCTTACAACTTATTCAGATATTTCGTTTACGAATATGGTCAAGTCTGATAATCCAACGTAACGTTTCACAAACTTTATGCCTAACATTTGTATGGCTTGAGGTTGTCAAATTTGTCTGTTTGATAATTAAAATATTTCCTCATTTATTCTTTTCTGACAGCACCCAACCCCACAAACACATCCAATTACAAGCCAACTGTTGACCTGAAGGACAACAGTACATACTGGGAGAGATAGCAAGATATATCTTTTTGTGTAAATATTTGCAATATTTATAACGATCTGTTATCATATGTGAAAGTTATTTCTTATTCTCACAGTCATTGACGGCGGACAATTTGTTGAGAAAGCTGTCCATGCATACTACAATGATTATACAGAGCGAAACGTGTAAAATGCCCCATACCTACAAACGTTGCTTCGTGGAGACACTTCAGACCGAACTATTGAATATTCATGACTGTTCGATATCCCAGGCGTGTGTCGAATCAACCTGCGAACTTTGATCGATACTGTGTTTCATATTGAACGTTCATGTTGTGTTGAAATTATACACGATGGCCTCACCATGCAGACAGCTAAGGAAACGACGAATGGTCTTTATTTGTTTATTAATAAGCGTCATTGTCACTCTGATGTATAGTATAAGGGCGAATCCCAATGACTTGTCTCGTGAATTGCCAGATCCCTTGTTAAGTCTTCACCATCCCGACGATCCCAATGTGAAACTCGTGTTTGCTCAAATGAATCTGAAGCATCCAGGAGTCGGTGATACAGGACTATTGTTAGATGTGTCGAAACTACCCAAAGAAGAAGCCGAGAAGTTCCAGAGGAGTTTGGAGCAGAGGGAGTACTCCAGTTATACCAGTAGTCTCATACCTCTCCAGAGATCTCTGCCTGATATCCGTCTTAAAGGATGTCACTCGTTGTACACAGACCTCAGTCTCCCTGAAACCAGTGTGATCATTATCTTCTACAACGAGCACTGGTCAGTCGTGTTACGGACTATCCACAGCATCATGGACAACACTCCACCTCATCTCATCAAGGAGGTCATCTTAGTGGACGATGCGTCCACAGACAAGGTTCTGAAGGAACCGTTAGAGGAATATGTCTCCCGATTCAGGAAAGTGCAGCTACTGCGAGCTGAGTCCAGGCAGGGTTTGATAAGAGCCCGGATGATAGGCTTTCAACAGTCTACTGCTCCAGTAGCAGTGTTCATGGACGCACACTGTGAATGTTTTCCTGGCTGGCTGGAACCACTGGTGACAAGGATTGCCGAAAATCAGAGTATAATAACTACCCCTACCCTTCACTCATTAGATTCTAGAAGCTTCAAAATCGTCAAAATCCACGAATGGGGGAAGCGAAAGAGTCTTTTAATACCCACTCTAACCTTCCCAAATCTTTTCTTCGCCTGGTCCTCCATGTCAGAAGAGGAGTGGAAGAAGAGAAACACGGGAGACTGATCCAGTTCGGTCTCCAGCCATGGTTGGATGTGTCATTGCCGTCAGCAGGAGTTGGTTCAAGAAACTTGGAATGTTTGATCCTGGTTTGGAAATCTGGGGCGGGGAGAATACCGAGTTATCTATCAAGACGTGGCTCTGTGGAGGTGGACTGGAGATCATTCCCTGTTCGAATGTAGCGCACTTGTACCATCCTCATCGACCATCAGAAAAACGTAGGATCGCGTACAACAGAAACATAGCCCGTGTATCCAATGTGTGGTTGGACAAGTACAAACACTTTAGTGACAATTATGACGGTAGCATTGCGGATTTTGGTGACATTTCTGATAGGATAGCTCTCAGAGATTCACTAAAATGTCATCCATTTGAGTTTTACTTGACAAATGTTAATCCATATCAGTTCATCCCAGGGAACGGTATTTACACAGGTCTAATACGTAATGTTGAGCTTGGTATCGACTGTCTCGACTCGGGGGGCAGAAAGAATGGGGATAAAGTCAATGTTTTGTTGTACTCTTGTCATGGGAAAGGAAATCAACTATGGGTTTTCACAGAACGTCGTGAGATTAGAATTGGAGGACAATGTTTAGATTCAGGATATGGAGAGAACGTTGTGATGCGGAACTGCCACGGTCTGAGACTGAACCAGGAGTGGGAGGTGATCAGTCTGGAAGGTCACGTGTTGCTCAAATCTCACGGATATTGTGTTGGTGTTACCAAAAGTGAATCTGCTCTTGTCTTGGGGAAATGCCACAATTCGGCACTTCAGCAATGGATCTGGAAGCAAAACAGGAAACCTAGGATTTCATAAACATATATTTTATATTCAGTTCCCAGTACACAGAGAAAGCAGGTTTTCTATCATTCTTATCAGTATTCTATTGTTGATGAAGACATTTGCTATGACAAATCAAAAAGACGTGAGGATTGGAGTGAGTGAGTGAGTGAGTTTAGTTTTACACCGCACTCAGCAATATTCCAGATAAATGGCGGCGGTCTGTAAATAATCGGGTTTGGACCAGACAATCCAGTGATCAACAGCATGAGCATCGATGTGCGCAATTGGGAACTGATGACATGTGTCAACCAAGTCAGCGAGCCTAACCACCCGATCCCGTTAGTCGCCTCTTACGACAAGCATGGGTTACTGAAGGTTCATTCTAACCCGGACCTTCACGGGTGTGAGGATTGGATGGTTGAGTATGGTAAAGTATGTGCATGAAATAATCAGTCCGTGATGACCTGTAAACGTCGCCCTCGTGTCCAAGTTTGTTATTGTACGTAGATGCTACAGGTATGAAAGAGAGAAATATATGTTATAGATTGATTTCAAGAACTGCTATTCTTTGTCTCATTGAACATGATCAAAAGGTGATGGAAATATTAACATGTTTTTTTCTTCTTAGTTGAACTTAGAGATATGGATGATGAGACAAGGGGCAGACAACTCCTTTTCAGTGTAAATGTATTTTTTAACCCGTAATGGAATTTAAAGATAGTAAAGTCACTATTGTTGTGTCAGCGTTAAATGGAATGTATTAGTATCGTTGACAAAGATAAAATATTTGCTCCTGTCAGTTAGAAGGAGTATGGTTATCTCGTACTTTTTCTCCATTTGGACAAATATTGTTCAGTACATGATTAATTATGGAGGTCATTGAATGACCAATGATTCCAGGGATAGACACATCAATCTGGGTACACACATGCCACTAGTCTTAAGATGAGGGACTAGTTTTCTGCCAAATCTTATTATTTTACATTAACACCTAGTTAGAAAAGATCTGCAGACTTGCTGGATTTGACCCCTGATCGAACACTTACAACATAATATTCAGATTTGTAGTCTGTTTGCCAGGTGAATTTTTCAGCAGAAAGCGATGTGAGTATTGCTGTAGTAAATATTGTAGTAGTAAATTGATAACCGAGGCAAATCATTAGAAACTGGAGGATTTGCGTAATCCAAAATGGCTGCCCTTGTTGCCTGTGTCTGGAAGTGTTGTTCCCATCATGCGTATCGACAACTGTGTGAAGACTTACTGTTATTTTGTAGAAAGTATGTTTCTCGAGTGGGTGACTCTGGTCGTCTCCTGTTGATTGTAGTCTCCAGACTCACTATGTGTGGTGTGGAATATATCACGTAGTGAGGCAGGGATGACCTTTTGTAAATAAAAGATATTATCCTGTGAACTTTGTTACTATTATATTTGTCTTGTGGCAATTGTAATTCCTATTAAAGGATGTTTAGTTTTTTTTCTGAATTAAAGAAAAGGCCAAGTTCAGATCAGCTCAGACATCAGGACCCGGTTTCACAAAGCTATCTTAGAGCTACGACTGTCCTAAGTCTATGTTACAGTATAGGAGTGAGTGAGTGTGTGTGTTTGGTTTTACGCCGCTTTTAGCCATATTCCAGTTATATCACGGCGGGGGACACCAGAAATGGGCTTCACATATTGTACCGATGTGGGGAATCGAACCCGGGTCTTTGGCGTGACGAGCGAACGCTTTAACCACTAGGCTACCCCACCATCCCAACAGTATAGGAGGTACGACAGTCGCTGCGCTGTGAAACGGGGCCCAGGTGAACACATCGTATGTGAATGGAGGGAGCAACACCGGATTAGCGTTGGCGACACTTTCAAAAGAGCACAGCTGTTTATTTGATGGTATGTTGCATGTGTTAAACGTATGGTGGAAGGAAATTCAATTTCAAATGTAGAAGTAATGTGGAATTGATTATGTTAACGGCTTGAATTCTGTCAATGTTAGTTGTAAGGTTTGCGATTTTAGTTTTCTCTTATTACATCGAACGACAGTATTCAAGAAACTATACAAGTTTCAAACGTAAAGATGCTTCCACTGCCAGCCCTACAAGGCGACAAATATTAATACATGAGTGCGGCGTAAAACTTAATGGTTAATGGTTGAATAGCAAAGAATGTACATGTAAATGGGATAATAACATGCCATCTGCTGCCTGAATAACAACAATGTACACGCTGCTGCCTCAATAGCAGCCAATGTACATGTACAATGTACAACGAGATATCTCAAGAACAGTCCGCTGGATTTTCTTCATAGACTTTCAAGACTTCCCTTGAATATTATTCAATAAGCATTTTCTTTATTACTATTTTTGCATATTTCATTGCATATGTACTAGCTAGTATTCCAGAAACGGAGCTGGTATGTAAATTTATATTAGTTTCGCCAATATCATTGCCCGAACTTCCAGCTTACAACTTATTCAGATATTTCGTTTACGAATATGGTCAAGTCTGATAATCCAACGTAACGTTTCACAAACTTTATGCCTAACATTTGTATGGCTTGAGGTTGACAAATTTGTCTGTTTGATAATTAAAATATTTCCTCATTTATTCTTTTCTGACAGCACCCAACCCCACAAACACATCCAATTACAAGCCAACTGTTGACCTGAAGGACAACAGTACATACTGGGAGAGATAGCAAGATATATCTTTTTGTGTAAATATTTGCAATTTTTATAACAATCTGTTATCATATGTGAAAGTTATTTCTTATTCTCACAGTCATTGACGGTGGACAGTTTGTTGAGAAAGCTGTCCATGCATACTACAATGATTATACAGAGCGAAACGTGTAAAATGCCCCATACCTACAAACGTTGCTTCGTGGAGACACTTCAGACCGAACTATTGAATATTCATGACTGTTCGATATCCCAGGCGTGTGTCGAATCAACCTGCGAACTTTGATCGATACTGTGTTTCATATTGAACGTTCATGTTGCGTTGAAATTATACACGATGGCCTCACCATGCAGACAGCTAAGGAAACGACGAATGGTCTTTATTTGTTTATTAATAAGCGTCATTGTCGCTCTGATGTATAGTATAAGGGCGAATCACAATGACTTGTCTCGTGAATTGCCAGATCCCTTGTTAAGTCTTCACCATCCCGACGATCCCAATGTGAAACTCGTGTTTGCCCAAATGAATCTGACGCATCCAGGAGTCGGTGGGACAGGATTATTGTTAGATGTGTCGAAACTACCCAAAGAAGAAGCCGAGAAGTTCCAGAGGAGTTTGGAGCAGAGGGAGTACTCCAGTTATACCAGTAGTCTCATACCTCTCCAGAGATCTCTGCCTGATATCCGTCTTAAAGGATGTCACTCGTTGTACACAGACCTCAGTCTCCCTGAAACCAGTGTGATCATTATCTTCTACAACGAGCACTGGTCAGTCGTGTTACGGACTATCCACAGCATCATGGACAACACTCCACCTCATCTCATCAAGGAGGTCATCTTAGTGGACGATGCGTCCACAGACAAGGTTCTGAAGGAACCGTTAGAGGAATATGTCTCCCGATTCAGGAAAGTGCAGCTACTGCGAGCTGAGTCCCGGCAGGGTTTGATAAGAGCGCGGATGATAGGCTTTCAACAGTCTACTGCTCCTGTAGCAGTGTTCATGGACGCACACTGTGAATGTTTTCCTGGCTGGCTGGAACCACTGGTGACAAGGATTGCCGAAAATCAGAGTATAATAACTACCCCTACCCTTCACTCATTAGATTCTAGAAGCTTCAAAATCGTCAAAATCCACGAATGGGGGAAGCGAAAGAGTCTTTTAATACCCACTCTAACCTTCCCAAATCTTTTATTCACCTGGTCCTCCATGTCAGAAGAGGAGTGGAAGAAGAGAACACGGGAGACTGATCCAGTTCGGTCTCCAGCCATGGTTGGATGTGTCATTGCCGTCAGCAGGAGTTGGTTCAAGAAACTTGGAATGTTTGATCCTGGTTTGGAAATCTGGGGCGGGGAGAATACCGAGTTATCTATCAAGACGTGGCTCTGTGGAGGTGGACTGGAGATCATTCCCTGTTCGAATGTAGCGCACATGTACCATCCTCATCGACCATCAGAAGAAAGTGACATCAGGTACAAAAGAAACATAGCTCGAGTGTCCAACGTATGGTTGGACAAGTACAAACATTACACTGACAATTATGACGGTAGCATTGCGGATTATGGTGACATTTCTGATAGGATAGCTCTCAGAGATTCACTAAAATGTCATCCATTTGAGTTTTACTTGACAAATGTTAATCCATATCAGTTCATCCCAGGGAACGGTATTTACACAGGTCTAATACGTAATGTTGAGCTTGGTATCGACTGTCTCGACTCGGGGGGCAGACAGAATGGGGATAAAGTCAATGTTTTGTTGTACTCTTGTCATGGGAAAGGAAATCAACTATGGGATTTCACAGATCGTCGTGAGATTAGAATTGGAGGACAATGTTTAGATTCAGGATATGGAGATAATGTTGTGACGAAGAAGTGCCACGGTCTGAGAGGGAACCAGGAGTGGGAGGTGATCAGTCTGGAAGGTCACGTGTTGCTCAAATCTCACGGATATTGTGTTGGTGTTACCAAAAGTGAATCTGCTCTTGTCTTGGGGAAATGCCACAATTCGGCACTTCAGCAATGGATCTGGAAGCAAAACAGGAAACCTAGGATTTCATAAAGTTGATTGTTTTTCATTATGGAGTTATTTTCAATGTTGACGCAAGGACATATTTTACGAGCAATAGCTTTCAATAATTTAATGTTATTTCTATTACATTTTGAAGTTCTTCATAGCATATCCCAAAATAACAGGATATTGTTTGTTTACGCTTTGAAATGTACGTTTCTTCTTCTTAATTTTCGAATTATTTTCAATGTTGACGCAAGGATATATTTGAAGTCAATTTTATGTTTTGATCATATGTGATTCATTATGATTTATGTTTCGATCATACATTCAGATATTGCGTTGTCAT